TTAAGAAATTTCCTGTTCTATGGGGTGTTAGTGACTTTTTTTTTTCCTGGTCACTAGGTGGCGCCAGAGATCTCTCCTAGTGTCCTTGGGGGGCTGTTTTTCGTCCCCCCAACCCCGTGGGACAGGGAGCAGAGCGGGAATGGTAGGGTACACCTCAACAGCTTTGGGGTGCTGTGTCTGCCTTGTGCCCCACCGTCGTGGAGAACCCACGCCCCGAATTTTCGTGCCCCGGGTCTCAGTTCAAAGCCCTCAGTTCCAGGACGTGGGCTGTAGCCCAGTTCAGTGGCGCGGGAATGGCGCCTTTTGCACCGCTCCCGTGCCTGGGCGCCTGGTTCCTGCTCACTCAGGGAGGGACCTTCACCTCAGTGAGGACCTCCGCGTGTCTCCCCGCAAGCCTAGGTCGTCTCCCCGCAAGCCTAGGTCGCAGGCGCGGGGACCTGGGCAGCCGCGATCTGCACTTGCTTTTCAAGCTCCCCGAGCGCGCCGCGTTTCCGCGCCAGCTTACCGGCAGCCCGGACTGTGTGCGCGTCTCCCGGGGTCTTTGTTCTTCTCTATTGGCGCCCAGATCCGTTCGCTCGCCGTGGCGAATCCTGCAGGGTTCGCCTCAGCTCCCGTTCACGGGGTGTGGTGGCTGCAATAGTTCCTTTCCACTCACGTCCCGCTTGCTGCGTCGTTTGTTCTTGTTGGTTGTTTTGGTTTGTTGTTTCCCTCCTCTCTGCAGGTCGGAGAGTGCTGCCTCTGTGTGCGGGGAGGGGAGCAGGGTTCTGCGCTTCCCTCCCTTCTAGTCCTCTTTTATGGCCACTTTCTTCTTCGGGCAGTTCGCTGGAGTCACCCGTTTATCTTCCGTGTCCCGGTTCTCACTGGGACCTGCCGCTTTTCCTCCCTATTAACTTTTTTTAATGGGAGATCTTACTCGCAGCGTCTCCTCGCCGCCATGTTGCTCCGCCCATCTCGGCAAATACTTTTAATTGGCTATTTATAAACACAAATCTATCATCATAATAAACCACTGAAAAGGAGTGGCAGATTAAACAAAATTTCAAGAGTTTAAGATAACAATATTAATATTAAGATATGAAGTCAGGGGGCTCACCAGAGATAATGTGACAGATTTTCTTGGGTGAGCCATTGAATGGTTACAAAGGTAATTCCAAAAGAGAAGATTGAAAATTATTTAAATGATGGCAACATTCACATCAAGCTTAGTATTTATTCAGTTTCACAAATTTTGATATTTAAGGTTCATTAGATCATAATCAAATCTTGAATATATTGTTTAATCATATATATTCTCTTGATAGTTAATAGCACTTCAGTGCTCACCACTTTGAACAGTCTAGATCAGATCTCTGCAAACTTTTTTAGAAAGTCCAGATGGGAAATATTTTAGACTTTGCAGGCCATACGGTGTATGTTGCAACTACTCAATGCTGGGTTGCAGCAGCAAAGCTGCCATAGACAGTATGTAAACAAATTAGCGAGGCTGAATTCCAATAAAATTTTATTTACAAAAACAGACAGCAGGTCAGTTTTAGGCCGTGGGCTGTAGTTCATGGACCTCTTCTCTGAATTGTCAATTTGAAGTTAAAGTAAAATTAGCATTCAGATTAATAAAATCCACAATGTGTCTGTGGGTAGAGTATACTGAATATTATTCATAACTAGACCCCAGATTTCAAATTCCCCAGACAACTGACCCAGGCTTGCTTCTAATATTTTCTCCTCTGACCCTTATATCCTTCCTGCCTCCTGTTTTGCCAGTGTTTTCTGAGTATCAGACAGGAAGACTGGTTCCAGGGCTTTCCCTCTGTACCCCATACCCCAACCTGTAACATTAGGTTGAGATGTGGTAGAGAGAATTACACCATCATGTGAATAAAATCATTTCACATATTGACAAAAGAGAGAATGTGAGAAAAATCTTGATGCGAAGACTGAGGGGGATATAGATGTAAACATATATCCAGAATATTAAGGCAAGGATTTAGAACAAATTACCAGGAAGAATTTTATTTGATAGATGAGAAATCTGTGAAATTCATTGCAAAAAGTCTTTGTTAATGCAAAAAATATTCACAAATTTGACAAATGTTTATATATATCCATGGTCACCTATGCCTAATGAGTGCTTTCAGAAAGGTTTGTAGTGTAAGCACCATTAATCTCTAGTTCACCAGCAATATGCCCACCTCCCTTGATTTAAAAAAGTAGCTTTTGGAATGCATCTGTAATGACTGGTAAGCAAATAACACCCTGAGCTCTCTTAGTGACCCAAGTATTGAGGTTCGGGTCTCTTCCTTGGGGACTGCAAGATCTTCCGATGGTCCAGTCACACCTAGTTAATCCTGACACAAGATGTCATGGGCATCCATTCTGAAAAGGTGGTGCCATGGTATATTGGTGGTTAAATATACCACTGAAGACCATATTCTTAAAGGGAAGAAAAAATTGAACAGACCATTGTATGTCTGACTCAGGATTGTATTTGGTCCTTAATTGATGAAGAACGGACTACCCTAAAATAAGTTTCCTTCATCCTTTTCCTTCCTCAGTGCTGCTATTCAGAGTCCCTAAAACAAAAGACTATGATATATTAATGTACACAGGGATCTTTGAGAATACCCGAAACTATACCCTTGCAATGTGCCAACTCCTCTCTCAAAGTCCTAAGTTTACACATAAAGGCTAGAGAATTTGCAACTGCTTTCAAAATAATATGCCATTGTTATATTATAAATCAGTGCAAGCTGACAGGGAAAACATGTGCAATTTCTAAACGATTGCATAAGTTCAAGTTTGAGTGGATATGTGTGTGCTACTTAAAGCATACTGATTTCTGCAAATCCTGTAATGTTGAAACTGCTCTTCACCTTTCCCATCACTCTTTTGAAATAGAGTACATTCATGCCCAACAGTATTGCTCCACTTCCTCTATCATTGAAATTTCATGGCCTGGGGCATTTCTCAGCTGAGTCCCACCATGGCTAGATCACTCATTTCATCCATTTCTTTTCTTTTTTTTTAATTATAAATTTTATTTTATATTTCCCATACAATTGCAACCCCCTTATTTTGACCCCAATCCCTCCCCTCCCCGCCCCCCACCACACATAGAGTGTCTCTGGTTCATAGTTGTTTGTTGATTTTGATTTTCACTTCTTTTTTTTTTTTTTTTTAAAGATTATTTATTTATTTTACAAGCACTGGTACAGTCAGAAGCGCGGGAGGGTGAGAGAATTCACCAGAGCCAGAGCAGGAGCAGAGCAGCAGAAGGACCAAAGTACACTGCTGAGGGGAGCAGCGGGCGGCAGGAGAGGTCCGCGCGCCATGCGGACCCTCCTCCGGTGGCCGGGGAGCAGCCGGGGATCGAACCAGCGCTGCAGAGGCTGCGGGCAGCTTCACAACCCAGCGCTCAACCGCTGCGCCACCAGGGGAGGCCCGATTTTCACTTTCTTATAGTTATTCATTTCCTGGTCCCTTATTTAAGTTTTCTAGATTCCTGCTATGAGTGAGACCATCCGGTATTTTTCTTTTTCTTTTTGGCTAATTTCGCTGAGCATGATCCCTTCCAGCGCCATCCATGTTGCTGCAAATTGCATGTGTTTATCTTTTTTGAATGCTGAGTAATATTCCATGGTGTATATGTACCACATCTTCTTGATCCAGTCATCTATTTCATTTCATCCATTTCTAAATATCATTCAAGAGGTGTCCTCTTGCCTTCGTCCCTACCATGGCTAATAGGTGTTCTCCAGTATCCCTGGAAGTACCAACTGGGTAGAATTTCTTGTATTCAAAAGTGTTGGGTGACCTGCTCACAAAGCAAAGCTAAGGAAAACTGTACCCTGCTCCTGTAACCCAACATCTGTCTAGGGAAACTGGAATATTCTTTAATGTAGCCATGTCAAAAATAAGCTTTTGCTCTAATTGTAAGTGATAGGTTCAAAATGCTTAAAAATGTAATATTGTTTTTAAGAAAAAAACATTGCAATTCAAACTAAGTTACCCATTCTTTTCTGCCCTGGAAAAAAACAAAAAACTGGAGATGTACTGTTTTAAAAATAAAACATCTTTCAGATTATATCTTGGGATTGAGACAAATTCAATTCTATTTATATTTTCAGTCTATATGACTATGGTGTTCATAACTATATTCTTTATAATAACCATTTATAATAATGGCCCAGATTGAAAGTAAGATTTTAAATAATCAAATGAAAATTTAATTTTTTTCATTATATTCTATCTTCTAAATGAAAATTATTAACTAAAAGAGTTAAAAACTCTTGGGGAATTCTCTATTAATAAAAAAATATTAATTCAACAGAGTAATACTCACTTTCCCCCAAGTATTTCAGTTAGTTGCAGTAATCATACATAACTGTAATAAGGTGCTGATCACAACTTAAAATAGTTAGCCAGATGAGTTTAAGTAAAACATTTTACATTTTGGGGGAAACCTGTGTACAATGGTGTATAATGATGTGTATAATGTATATGATGGTATATAATGATGCCAGCATGCCTCGCTACAGGGAAGGGGTGAAGGAGAAGGAGAGGGGCTGTCATTGTCTATTGGCATATCAATTTCTGTAAAACATACTTACATACTAATTCCAAGAATCCTTATGAAACTCAGCAAATTTTTACAGGAAGGGAGTTATCTGAGCATTCGGCATTTGTACTATTGGATAAATTTACTCACTTCACCTACTATGTAATACAGTACTATCTAAGCATTTAACTTGTCCAAAAAAAAAATAATTAGGTGTAATAATATGTATAATTATTTTACTATCCATAATTACTACATATATATTTGCTGCTAGTAATTGTTTTACTACATATAATTTACTATATTGAATTATTTTTGGACAAATTAAATTCTTAATACTGTATCAGGTAGAAGGTGAAGTGAGTGAATTTAAAGCACTCCTTTCAAATTAATAAGTATTTCTTAAATGATCACTTGTCAGTGTTTGTTTTTTTTTTTTTACTAGGTCGCTGTATTGACAGCAAGTTAGAATGCAATGGAGAAAATGACTGTGGAGACAATTCAGATGAAAGAAATTGTGGGAGAACAAAAGCAATATGCCCTCGGAAGTATGACCCGATCCCGAGTGTACAGCTGATGGGCACAGGGTATGTAACATCTTTTCATTTTTTAGGGAGAAAAGGCATCTCAGAGCTAGTGAATTGTAGGCAACAGTGAAGTGATGAAACACATCATTGTCCATTAACCCCATCTCCATTAACCTCTTATTACTCCCACCTGCCTGATTCTGTACTTGGCTGTTAGGCTCAGAGTGGAACCGATCATGATTCTCACACCTAGGGAATAAAAGAATTTTGCATTTAGTTTTTACCAGTGACACTATAAGACCTTTTTTTTTAAAAAAGATTTATTTATTTATACAAGAACCGGGGTACAGGCCAGATGTGCGGGAGGGTGAGAGGATTCACCAGAGACAGAGTGGGGAACAGAACAGGCAGACTGACGAAATACACTGCTGAGGGGAGCAGCAGGTGAGACAGGAGAGGTCTGCTGCACCATGTGGGTTTCTCTGTCGCTGGATCGAACCTGCACTGCAGAGGCTGCGGACAGCTTCACTGTGCAGTGCTCAACCACCTGCGCCACCAGGGATGCCCTATAAGACCTTCTTAAACACAGTTTGTTTTAATTCTCACCTATCATCTGACAGTTTTGGACTGGATAGGGACGAACTGGTGGGAGACCAGTCAAGTAGGAAGGTGCCAGGATGGATTCCTGGGGTCTTGAATGAGCAGATAACCACTCAAAAAGATAGCAAGAAGTAAAGTGAATATAACTAGGATAATCAAAACTTCCTCTCATTTGGACTATGTACTGCCTGGGTAAGTCAGCATAGTCTCAGAGGAGGAAGGCAAGACCATCTCATTCTATGTGTGCCTGTCCAGGTCTACCAGCTAGCAAATGGTGGGAGCAGGACTCAAATCCAAACTTTAGAACCCAGGTTATTCCGACTATTTCATGCTAATTCAGCACAATATCCACTTTAGAAATGGAATTATAATGGAAGAAAACTTGAGGAAAACCGTGCACTTTTCCTCTCAAACTTTGTACTCAGAAATTCTAATGCTCCTATTTCAGAAATTGTGATATTCCTATTTCAGGTCATTAGGACACTGGAAGTTTGGGAAGAGATTCTGAGTTCATTAAACTGAGGTAATGTCTTAGACAACTTTAGGAATATAAGAAAAGTCAATGAAAACAAAAGAACCAAGCCTTAGTTGAAAGTGTAAGAAAAATCAGTAATCTCCCTTTTCCTATGGCAAAAGCGCTCAAATTTTTGGCCAAAAAACTTCATGTTGGGCTTTTTTTTAAAAAAAGTATTCACCTATATCCCCAGACTTGCATAATATGAAAACTTGAGGCACCCCAAGCAGCAGTATCTCAAATATAACCTCATTTGATTAGAATGAAAACTAGAAGATATTGAACCAAATGCAAGGACAGCAATAAAAGAGAACACCATTAGTCTGGAAGTAAGAGGAGCGAGATTCTAGACCTAGTTCTGTACTAACTACATCACAACCAAGTTATTGAGCATCTCTGGGTCAGTTTCCTCATCTGACCCAGATTTTGTATGACTATAAGCTGATTTCAGGCTCTGTCCTAAGAATTCTTAATTAGAATTAATTTCCATGAGAGTGCTCCAACATCTCTTATCAATATGCAGAAATGGTTTCTTCTTTTCATTTGCCTGGAAGAAAACCTCAGCCAAAACTCCCACTGATAATCACATTTTCTGATGTTCTGATTGATGAGAGATGACATTACCCCTCACCTTTTGCCCAGTTGGTCTAGACTTTGGAGTTACAGATGGGGAGCACCACATGCTATGTGTACTTTGGCAGAAAGACTGTGTGGCCTGTTGCCAACGAGAGCTGTTGTCCCGAGGATTCTCAGAAGTGAGCAAAACCTACTGCCTCTGGCACATCCAGTTCTTTCCAAGCCTCCCTAGAGACTGAGGATTTTGAGTACTGCTTACCGGAATTCTTTCCAATCTTCTGGCCTTAGAATCTCTACTACCACAATACATTTCTCCACAAGAGGTAGCTTCCTGGGTGGCCTTACCTCTTTTTTAAATGGTATCTCTCCAAGAAAGAATTTAACAAGACAAAGCAAAATTCGTGCATTGCCATCACAGTCACAGTTCCTAAAGCAAGAACCAGGCAATAAGACCATGCATTTTGTTTTTCCTGAGACTCAGCCAAGTTACAAATACACACACACATATGCACATACACGTAAACATATTTGCATACACATGCATTTTAATATATGTATAGATAAGAAATTTTAACTAAATTCAAAAGTTACCAAATATGGCTCAAGTTAGACAGGAATACTTCAGTACCTAAAATATTAAAGGTCATGATGTATTTGAAACATCAAAATATTGAAAGTTAATTTGAATACCTCAGAAGGGAGGAGGAAGAATAGAGCTGAAAATTGCTGCAGAGTCAACTGAGTTTCCGAAAGTTTCCTCAGGGATGCCCTGAGAGTCACCTTCATAAATATTCTACCCTCAGGCTCTCTGCAAGCCGCTGCTACTTTCATAGATCCCTCATGACCTGGAGGCCATTTTTCTCAAATCTTTCTTATGAATTTATGACAAATTCAGAAGTATATAGTGAAAGGCAACATAAAAAATCAACATTTTTTTTGTCCTCAATGATCCCTCCTAACTCAGAAAATGTAAAAGTATGAGAGCTACACCCCTGTATAAGTCATGATAACTTGTTTAGAAATTTATTCCCAGACAATCTCCTCACACTGCCTCCTTCAAATGCTCGCTGATAGAAATCCAATTGTAAATGAAAACAAACCTGAAATTGCACTGCCACCATTTGAATATGAGAGGTTTGTTAGAGAAACCACTGGACTAACTTCTTTTTTAAAAAATACTTTTTAAGGTACAATTCCCATGCCATGTGAATTAAAAATTTAAAGTATACAATTATATTTTATTTTAATGTACTAGTATGTTTAAGTGTCAATATATTCAAATTTAGATAATCAGTCTGAATTATTACAATCTAATTTCTGACAGTTTCAGCATCACTCAAATAAAACCTGTACCAATCGGAAATCAGTTTCCAGTTGTCCCCTTCCCACACCTCACTCCTAACCCTAGGCAGTCACTAATCTACTTTCTGTTTATATAAATTTGTTTACTCTAGACATTCCATGTAAATATAATCACACAATCTGCAGTGTTAACTTGCATTCAGGAGACAGAGAGGCAAAGCGTGTTTATTTGGGCAGAGACCATTTCATATATTTTCTATTTCCTCATCACATGTAATTCAGCATTACTAACTATTTTATCACAAAACTTTTTTTCACAGAATACATATTAACATGTGAAAGAATTTAGAACATTATTGACATCTTGGAGAAGGTTTTCATGTACCACGAGACAACTCAAATACTTGATTTGTGCTTACCTAATCTCTATATGCCTCAGTTTTCTCATTTGTAAAATGAGTATGATAATATCTTTATGTCATATGGTTATTATAATTATTTTATAAATATCTACTACTACATATAGGTCAAACGGTGCTTGACTTATAGTAAATAGCATGTATTTGTTAAATAACTTTTAAATAATATAGTTATCAATAAAAACTAATGCTGTTACAATTCTATTAAAATATGACTACTACTGTTTCATTAACTCTAAGAATTCCTTCCCCATATCTCACTGAAGGAAGTAAATCCTGAAAGGTATTAGTTATGTAACAGTTTATTTCATCCCCTGCTTCAAATGGTTTTGTGAGTTATGCAGTAACTATAATCCTCAAATTTATTTTATGTTGAAAGCCAAAAACAATGGAGTGGAATAAGGAGAACCTAACAGAGCAAGAGTGGCCGAGTTTTTGGCTTCCAGCCTTTATGGAAGACCCATTACAGACTAAAAAAAAAAAGGGGGGGATTTTCTTCAAGTCATTTATCATGAGTCAAAAAAATGTCTAAGAGAGGAATTTCTTTCATATGAATAAGGTAAATTTTACAGTTTGCTCTATGTCTATTGAATTCTTGAACATTACTTTTTTTCTAGATTCCATTATCTAGCAGGAGAGCCCAGAGGAGAAGTTCTTGATAACTCTTTCACTGGAGGAATATGTAAAACTGTCAAAAGCAGTAGAGCAAGAAATCCATACCGTGTTCCGGCCAATCTGGAAAATGTGAACTTTGAGGTATGACAGTTTATCATATCGAACCCTATGCAGTTTAATTATAAACTAAAATTCCAATTAAAAATAGTTATGAATGAAAGGGCAGAATAGAAGGTAATGAACATTTTAAATTACCTATTATTTGTTGGTGTTTATTTCTTCCACAGCCCCAGGAAGTCAGTATTAGTATATCAATTTACAAATAAAAAAAAATCTAAGATACCTATTTGACCAACATAAAAGATCTAGTCAGCAGAGAATCACAGATTCAAGTCCAAACTCCTCAGTCCTCTTCCAGAGACCAGAGCCCATTGTGAAATTTTCAGGAATTTTGCAGCCAACAGTGAAGCATAGCCTTTACTACATATTAAACATATAATCTCATAATTAAATAAAAACATTTAAAACAGAGGTGCTAATTACTCAAAATGTATCACTTCTCAATTACTTTGCCACATTTTTACCAACTATGCTATTGAGATTACTTGTAACTATTGTAGCTATATCCTGAAAATACTATGTAAGTGCCACTGAGCATCTGTTCCCAAGTTTGAATTCAGGGAATCACATAGGCAACTTGAAATCAGCATTTGTTTATACACCATGGGAAAAGGAAAATGCTCTGGGAAATCACAGAATATCTCCCAATCCAGAGAGTTAGTTGTTAAACGTTAACCTGCAAACCACTGGGTCCACCACACAACTTGGTAACCCAAGCCTGGACCGCAAGGACAGTGAGGGACAAACAGACTGCAATCCTAATTCAGAATAAGGTAGACTCATTTCACTATCATTGTAGTTCTAAAACCTGTCCAATTTTAAGAAGCTACCTACGCTGATCTCCAACTCTATGTCCTTGAGTTTTAAATAATATAGAACTGCTGGGGAAGGTCATGGTGATAATTATTCAAGCAAACATTTGGAAATAACTAGACCCAAGGTCATAAGCTATTAGTTTACTTCCATTTTTTTCATGGTTTTGTTTATGGGTTTAGCAGGCAGCTGTGCAAATATAAACTATACCTTTGAAAATTGAAAATGATAGAGAAGGAGGGATTCAGCATCAGCAGCATATGATTTTCCTTCTCCTGTAATATTGGAGTTGATTAAGACAGATGAGATGACAGGCTGAGCGGTGCATAAAAATTGGAGAGGATTCTGCAAAGAAGGGAATGGAAGCAGTTGGACTGGAAATTTGAATAGAAGACACAGGAGGAATTCTGTGCCTCAGAGTTCCCCTGCCCCCTCCTCAACTTGCTGGATGCAGAGATCAGGCACCATAAATTCAGTCTCCAAAGTTGTATCACTTACTGAGGAAGGTTCCTTCTTTCCAGGAGTCACTGCTTTGCTGTTGACTGTCTGCTAAGCATTTGTGGTCGCCAGCAGACTGCAGAGCATGACACTGCCAGACTTTGATTCTTCCAAAGATCTCTTGGTGCATCCAGAGCCTGAAAGTTTCAAAACTCTGCAATCCCTCAAATCCTCCCTAGTTTCTTGTGAAGGTCACAGCTGCAGGTTTCATCTCTATCCCTTGCATCTCAGAAAACCAGGGGTGACTCTGTCTCCATCCCTCCCATCTCTTAATTCTCTCCTGCCTCTCCCTCCTTTAAACACAAAAGCAAATGTGTCAAGGATATCAGCCCATAAAATAGTCAGGATGGGCTCAGAAGGAATCTAGCAATAATACATAAAATGGAAATTTAAACTTTTTTCTTGGAATCTGGTTAACATCATCTCCTAGAGAAATGTGGGAAAATGGAGTTTGTCAGAGCACACTAGAGGTTCTTTACACACAACTAGAAGACCTCATCTTCCTCCTTTCAAAAGTTTCCTTGGCTTCTATATTCCCTTTCATGGAACAGGATTCCCACTCCACTACCTCCCTCCCTTCCCTTCTCCCCCCTACACACACACACACACACACACACACACACACACACACACACACACACACACACACACCCTACTCATTTACCTGGTGAACTACTTCTGTTGATTTACCTCCTAAATATTCTCCAGTTTCTCTTGTCCTAACTTCTTCCATAGCCTTATGTCGTTTTGAAGAGGTGTGGGGTTCAGTGAGCAGGTCCTTGGATTACTTCTGAGAAAAGTTTCATTAAAGTTCCCCTTTCAGTGACATGTGGTGAGTTTCCCCATTTGGCAAAGACTTTTGGTAATATCCAAAAGGACAGGTTTATTATATAAAAAAGGAAAGGAGAAGACAATTGCTTAGGCAGGCAGGAGAGCTGCCTTTTGCTAAGGCAGAAATTGCATTGGGGAATTGTTATGTGATGTGAAATAAATCACTTTTGGGGTGTGACTAGGATGATTTGTAAGTACCAGTGATTCTCTACAATGGCCCTCAATCTCTGTATCCCCACCTCTGGTCTGCCTTTGGATACTTTGTGTAGCAGGTACTCGCTATAGCCCTTAGAGCCTGAGAATTTTTCATTTCTATAGGTGGTTTGACAACTGTGTTCATCATTTCTGGTCTTGTGACACCTCCATCCTAAATTTTCTACTCATTTATTACAATAGTTACTTTTTAAACTGATTTCCTTGACTCCAATATAGTTAATTATGGTTAGTATGTGTTAACTGAAAATAAAGTGTCAAAAAGTTTATTTTTGTCAGTGATAGACAAAGAGTTTATTAGATAATCAAAGTGAGAATTTGAACCTAGGAAGCACTCTAACCCATTTTATTCTTGTGAGGGCTGCAGGGCTGCTCCAATAAACACAAGTTTGAATTTTAGTTTATATAGGTAGGAACAGTGTGTCATTGATTTTAAGAATGTAAATTCTTGAAAGGAGGGGCATCTGGTTCTAAGCTGTCCTAACCTGAAGATATGCTGGTGCTAGAGGAAGGCAATCAAGATTTAATTCCTTCCTTCCTAAAAAAGAACTATTTTTTTAGGAGTTCCTAAAAAAGGACTGTTTTTAGGAAGGAAAAAAAAATGTATCTTTGCATTACAGAGATGCAAAAGTGTGGTATCCACTATTATATCTTCCTTATCTGACTGATTGTCAGTAGGTGTAAAAAGACTGACTTTACTTTCAGAGAGCAGATTTCTGTGTACACAGTGGAGCCTGTGACTGTGGCTTTGCTCTCTGGCCTGCTAAATGGAAAGAGTTGGGGATTTCCCCCAAAAAAATTGCAATATTTTTACACTTGACTTTTGCAAAACACAAATATGATGGTAACACTCCCAATTCTTCATTCAATTAATATTTTAAAGAATTTATATGCACATTCAATCCAAATACTTTGGGAAGGTATACAAGTTTGCCTGACCTCAGTTTCCCAGTTCAATCTAATATTGTAGCACTGCTCACCTGTAAACCTGGCCTCCCACCCAGCTAATATACATGGTCAGATTTTCTCTGAGCTTCTGCCCAGAAAATCTTCCTTCCTTACATGCTATTGCCTTTTCCTCTACATGAACACACCTTTACTTATGTAAGTGTAAATTCATTAGACAAAATATTTGTGGTCTGAGTTTTTTAAAGAGGTAACAGCAACTTAAGTTTAAACAGCATTTAGATATGATTGCATTGCTGCTTATCAACTGAGGAGCTTCATTTGTGGACATTTTAAATGCTAACTAGCCTGTACTGCATTATCTGAAAGTTATACTGAACTTTTGATTGTAATGTATTATTGAGCAAGAGCAGCTGGCTTATTTTGTCTTTCTCTGACTAATTGTGCAAACTATTTCATTGTGACATGTTATTTTCCTCACAGTGCCTTTTAATACTGAATATTTTTAAGTTAGGAGAAATTTTTCCCTTGCAAACCAGAAATTATTTCAAAATAAAGAAGTACTCTTCAATCAACTTAAAAAAAACCAAAACAGCCTAGCCATTGTTCTCTTCTTTCCTAGAAGGAAAGGAAATACCCTGTTCCCCTCATTAAAAAGCTGTGGCTGGGCCTCCCCTGGTGGCGCAGCGGTTGAGCGCTGGGTTGAGCGTAGCCTCTTGCAGCGCCAGTTTGATCCCCGGCCACCGGCGAGGGTCCCACAAGAAAAATAAATAAATAAATGAAAAAGCTATGGCTGCTTTTTCTTCTTCTTAAACCCAACAGACAGAACCAATTACTTCTCCTTTGTTTCATAGACGCAGCCAGTAGAGTGCTAATGTCCAACAACCTGAGAATGCCAAGGGGTTGGTGTTGATCCAGCAGGTCCACTCCTAGGAATATACTCAAAGGATACAAAAACACTAATTGAAAAGGAAATCTGCATTCTTATGTTTATTGTAGCATTATTTACAATAGCCCAAATATGGAAACAACCTAAACTCCCCAAAATAGGTGAATGGATCAAAAATTTGTGATATATTTATACAATGGAATATTACTCAATGATCAAAAAAGACAAAATCATGTCATTTGCAGAGACATGGATGTAACTGGAAGGTATTTTGCTGCCCAAAATTAGTAGAAGGAAAAAGATAAATACCAGATGGTCTCACTTATATATGGAATATAGAGAAACTGAATGAAGGATCAGGAAAAAGTCAAAACTAGCAACTGACCATAGAACTGAGGCATACAGCAAAGGAGGGTGTGGAGGGCCAAACCGGGGGAGGAAAGAACACAAGGGAATATGGTGATGGTTCTAAGGTGACAAGGTGATGGGAAAACTGTAGGGACTACAATGATGTAAGAAGAAAATTTTAATTTAAAAAATTAATATAAATATATTTCTTATGCAAATAATATATATAAGTGTATAATATAACATAAGGAAATTACTTATGCAAAAAAAAGAAGGCAAAGGTGTTGGGATAGAACTAAAGCAGATCTGCCCTCTCCTTTTCTATGGCTCAATTTTCAAAAAAATTTCTTAAATTTGATAGCAAAAAGCATTAAATTCACAGGCAGGCTAAAAATAGCCCCCATTGCTTATCACCCCACTAAATCTCAGTTTAGGGAGATAGTTTCCTTGAGGGAGACTTTTCTATTATTGCCTTTCTGGGGTTATAGTTTGTGGCAGTCCCATTGATAGCACAATACTTAGCACATTGAATTAAGTGTCTGATTGTCTCTCTCCTAATTAATGACTCCCTGAAGATAGGGACCAACATTATTTCTTTGCTAGGAAAATGTTCCCAGTAAGTATTTGTTGCATGCGTGGAGGTATGAAAGATCATTGCAGTAGATAGTCATAGGTCGCTCCTGTATTTACTAAGTTATGTCTTATTTCATATGAATTTTCCCCCAGGTACAAACCAAGGAAGATGATTTGGAAACAGATTTCTATGAGGATTTAATTCCTTTTGAAAAGAGTAATAATCAACAAGCTTCTGGTTCAAGGGGAGACTCGGACTTTTTTCTTGTACCAATTTTTTATTTCTCAGGTAAAATGCAAAGCAGTCGCCATAAGTCTAGCTTCAAACAAGCTGTTCAAGCCTCCCACAGTAAGGTAATAAAAATGGCTCCAGGTCTTTTCACTCTCTCTTGAAAGTTAACATTAATTCCAGAAATCATGTAATGATAAGGGAAGAGTTTTTATTAATATCAAATCAGTAGGATTTCTAATACAGATATAAAAAGTTTTAACTTTGTTTTGTTATATCTCACTTCAAAAGTGATACAGGTAATATGGATGATGCTTCCTTTTTGCATGTGTTTATGGCTGTGTTTCCTTTATTTTAACATTTCTTTGTGTTATTGTTTTAGGTGACATTAATATTTTATTTTTTATTGAAGTAACATTGCATTATAGCATTATATAATTTTCAGGTGTTTGTCATTGAGAATCACATGTCTAAGTTCACTGTTAAAAATCCAAATCTATCCTTCACCATACCGTTGCCTGCTTTCCCCTGCTTTATCAACTCCCCTTCCCTCTTTCCTTCTGCTAGCGACTAATTGGCCTTATTTTTGTTGCATTTAATTTGTTTATTTGTTTTCTCTATATGCTACCCGTGGGTGAAAACATACGGTTTTTGTCTTTTTTTTCTGTTTCGCTTATTTCATTAAATGTAATCCCCTCTAGTTTCATACATATTGTTTCAAATGTCAGGTTTCATCTTTTTTATAGCTTAGTAGTATTCCATTGTATTTGCCATGTCTTCTTTGTCTATTTTCTACTTGATAAGCATTTAGGTTGTTTCTAGTTCTTGGCTATTGCAAAACAGTGGTGCAATCAACATGAGGAAGCACATATTTCTTAGAATTATTACATTTTGCTTTTTAATCTGCAATTTTCAGGGCTTGGCTAGGAAAGTCCAGCTAGTTTACATTTAATATACTCAATATCAAGACAATGATTAATCATGATTTGATACTTTTTGTTCTGGTATGGCCCTTTTGGCTAGTCTGGCAGCCCACTTGTTTGGGCCTGAGATTAGAGCAGGACTCACCAATCAACAATTTTAGTCCACCTATTCGTATAGGACTTGTGGGTATGGTAGACTAAGATTTAATTTCCCTGTTTAATCAAGATGTTCAGTGACCCAGTCAGTAGTCCAATTCCCTTGTTCTAACAGGATGCTGGGCAACTTAATTAATGATTCAATTCCCTTGTTCAAACAGGCAGCTCACATCTAACCAGTTAGCAAATTCATTTTCTTCCCCCCAGATTCTCTTATACCACAGATATTTAATTATAGAAGAAAAAGAAGCAGATGAAGGAATATTAGTGTTTGAAAATGTATCCTTACATATTGAAAGAGATCCAAACTCTCCAAAGTGCAGGCTGGTGTGCTGAGGCTGATATATGTGCATATAAATCCAATATCATTAACATTGCCAGGAATTTATAGAAAAGGGGTTTGATTTCCTCTAGATTTTTATTTGCTACAACTGTCTTTTAAAAAAGTAACTGTTGCTCACTGTAACTACTACTCTATGGAATATTTCTACTTCCCAAAGAGATGAATGGAGAGACTTAACCATGAATCATAGAACCTGTGAGGGTAGAGAAAAGGATGGATAAAATATGGAAGCAATGAGGTAGACTGCTGAAGGATACCTTTCTGTAACTCCTCCTGCCTTTGCCATAGTGTCACTCATATTTTTATTTATTAATTCATTCATACACTTATAAAAACATGAGCCTGTTAAACACTTTTTAGGTGGCTTTTTTAAGCATTCGCTTAAACTTCAAAAGAACCTGAAAGATCAGGGTAGATATTTTAATACCATTATTGCAGAAGAGAAAAATAAAGCCTAGTCTATATATTTAGTTTTAATTCAACAAGAATTTCTCAAATACCTACCAGATGTCAGGCATTATAGTGAAGTCCAAGAAGCTAGGCTATTTCTTATGATCTTACAATGAGTAAGTTAGTAGAATTAAAAATTCAAATCATTACATTATACTTCAAGCTATTTGTTCATTTACTCATTTATTCATAATTTCAGTAAAATATGTAGAGTACAGCTCTGGTGATATGAACATGTAAAAAGAAAGGGAGTGACTAAAATACATTCCTTTTATAACATGAATTTTTATTTCACTTTTGAAGGGATTATGAGTCATATGATAGCCTCATATTTACCAAATTATATTTTGAAAACAGAGTAGTATCAGAAATTACTTAGAAATAAAATTACATATCCACTTCCCTTAATTTATTGATTTTGAGTATCTGACATTGGGCAAGGTTCAGGCTTTTTTTAAGTACTCCAGCATGCTCTGATATCACATTCAAGCTTAGAAATAATTGCATAAAAATAGTCAATGATGAGGAGGGATGGATAGATAGATATCTATAACATATAGATATATAGACACATAGATCCATATCATCAGTCCTGACATAAAGACTTGTTTCACAGAATTGGTTTATAAATGCTTCAAACATGCTAGAAAATACTTCTAAACCCTTATTTGTAGGTAAACCATTGTTATTTGATGCTATAATAGTTGCTCCAAAGTGTAAACATTTAGGGCTACTCATAATATCAGGTGCAAACATATGCAACTCTGATACTATTTTTGACATACAAATATAATAACTTAATGTGTTTCAACCCAATATGACTGCTGTCTTAGATTTATTAGATCTGAACAGAATAAGGAAATATCAGACTAAACAGAAAATGCTACTGCAACCTCTCTTGGTCATCAAATAGTGAAAACAAGATACCACTGACTTCAGAATCAATCCATGTCCTTCAGAGGAGCTTAGTGCTTTATCTACTTATTTTGTCAATCACAGATCAGGCTGAAATTTGTTTGGCAGATAGTCTCTTTCAAAGTTAAAATACCAGTTACCTCAGGAAGAGTATGTGCTTCTCTGACTTACTTTATGAAATTGAATTCACAAAAAGTGGTTAATATAAAGCAAGACCCCACAAAATATTGAAAGAGATCATGCATATGTGATTTATAATGTACTAGCACATGTTTTTAATTTAAAATTTTTTTTCAGTCACCATGCACTGGTAAGTGGGATGCTTGTGCTAAGCTGAGTCACCAAAATTCCACTTGAAGATACAGTTTCAAAGCAACCTAGAAATTTGAACCACCCATTTGGATACCCATGTCCAAACAGGCATTTGAAGCACTCAAGGTGTGAGTGTGTTTCTTCCCTGAAGTACACCCTCCTCTGACTTTCAAAAACTAAGGTTCTGTGACAAAATGCAAGTATTAAACTTAAAAATAGAATTGATGGGCACTTAAAATATAAGCTTCACAAAGACACAAACTTGTCCTCCTTGTTCACTTCTGTGTCCACAATATCTGAGGTAAGTGATAAATGAGAAGACAAGAAGGAGAGAGGGTATGAAGGAAGAAGAGGAAAAGGAAAAGAGAAGCAGAACGGGGCCTTTTCCAATCCTTGTATTACTTTTTTTTTCTTCTTGTTAACAACCATTTTGTAATATAGTAATAGTATATAGGAAAGTGACTTTAATAATCTTTAGCTACAATAAATGGCGGTGGTTGTTGTTTTGCTGAAATGTGCTCTGCTCTCTATTACAGTTGCTCACACTCTACAAATGGCTAAAATTGAGAGATCAGACAGATGTATACTTTTTTTTTTTAAAGAATAGTATATGTGGATACAATCATAAATTTTATTGGCTATGTAGAACAGTCTGATGGAATGAGATTTTGAGCATAATGCGAACCACTTAATAGTAAATGAACCTGAGATAACAATAAACAAGTAACAACCCTCAGTCAGATACTCTACTTATGGGTAGAGAAGTGAAAATATAAATAATTTTGTTTTATTTTACCCCTTAAATAATTTTGAATCATAGCATTTTGGAGTGAAAAGGAGTGTGAAATGTCACCTGCTGTGCAGGCCTCATCTGTGCAATGGGAAACATTTCACAGATAACTCAGTCTAAAGAATTTATATGTTTTTTACCAGTCAGTGTCAAAACTGTGATTTGAATATTAGTTGCATGAGTTTCCAGTAGAAATTTTACAGAATCCTTTTTCAATTATTTGCATTGCCAAGGAATTACAAGTAAAAACTCAGTAAGGATGCAGCCATGATTGTTCATTTCTGATAATTGACCTAATTTGGGTAGAGAATATATGGCTCAGTAACACAGTTTACATTACTGAGATAATCTTATCTGATTAGCACTTTGAAGACTCTCAGGTACTAAAAAGTAAAGAGAACATTATGATTTTGTATGTGAGAACTTGCAGTAGACTTAAAATTGTTGTAATATTATGGTAGAAATGACCATCACATGACATCAGCATGGCAATTACATGACCATCACATGATATTGTGTGCTGATCATTTGATGTTATCATGGCCATATTATGCCATTAGTGTAACCATCATATGACATCAGCATGATGGTCACATGCCAATAGTGTGACCATTACACAAAGCTGGTGTGATCATTACATGACATTAGCATGACCACAGCATGACATTTGCATGATGATAACCTGACATCAGCATGGCATTGGCATGGCATTTGTATGACCACATAATATCAACATCATAATAGCATGATATTTGGCTGGCTACCACATGGCATTTGCATGGCATTTGCATAGCGTTAGCACAATAACCCCATGACATTAACATGACCATCACACAACCTTTACATGACATTAGTGTGATCATTACATCACATTAAATTCACATGACCATTGTATTAATATTAGAATGACTGCTGTCTGACATTAACATGACCACATTAATGTCTCATGACATCACATGGTGATTTCATGACATTCCCATGACTGTCACATTAGTCATGTGATGTTTGTGACTAGCACATGGCATTCACATGACCATCACATGCCTGCTTGTGGTGGTCATGCTAATGTCATGTGATGTGGTGGTCATGGGAACATCATGTGAATGTTGTGAAAATCAATGACATTTAAATTCTCGATATAGCAAACTTTCATTACCTGTAATCATCTTTTTTTGTTTACTCTTCCATTTAGGATTCTAATTTTATTAGGATCCATAAAGTGATCAAAGTCTTAAATTTCACCATGAAAACTAAAGATCTGCAGCTCTCTGACGTCTTTTTAAAAGCACTTAACCATCTGCCCCTTGAATACAACTCTGCTTTGTACAGCCGGATATTTGATGACTTCGGGACTCACTATTTCACTTCTGGCTCCTTGGGGGGTGTGTATGACCTCCTCTATCAGTTTAGCCGAGAGGAACTAAAGAGTTCAGGTATGCTTTCTTCAGCCCTCATTTTTCTGATAGAATAACATGCAATACATTTTTCCTCTTGCTCTATTATTTAAAATTTTCTTTTTTATTGGCTTATTTAGACCCTGCTTTGTTTCCAAAATGATATGAAGAACAATGAAAAGTACATACTCAAGTAAATGAAATAGAAATAGATAATTAGAACCAAAAATAAAAGAAAAATAAATATGCCTAATTTCTGTGATTTGGGCATCATATTTAATCTTCAAAGTTCCTGATGTCTAGGACCATCATCAGTTACACAGTAATAGTTAGTTACCCAAAAAAGGGAGATGTATGCCATTACCTCAAGGGAAATGTAATTTGTCCTGAAACCAAATTCTAAAAAAAATAATTTACTTACATCATTTTATAATAGATGATAATTTATAGAATAATAATTTATACCACATTTATACATTTACTAGCATTCTTTTTTCTTTCACTGATTTTAACTAAAAGTCAAGGACATACACTAAAGGATAATTAAGGATTTGGCAAGAAACTAGCTAATTGTGGGCCAGATAACATTTAATAGTAGTAAAACTTGAAACCAAATGGGTAGAACTTTTATTTGGGGAAAAGTTGCAACCTTGTATTTTGGGTTATATTCAGTGATATTTCCCATATGAAACAACAATATAAACAATATAAACAAACCTTTGTTTATAAATAAATCTTGGTTCCTTTGGTATTATTAAAAATGGGTTATTATTGCTGTTTATGAAACTTTGGATACATTTCTTTTCAGCTTCCTGTGAAATGACAGAGTTTCCATGAGATGATTTGTCATTTCTTGAGAACTTGATTAGAAAAGTGTATAGTAATCAGAATCCAACTGGCCAATTCTCCCAAATAAAATAGAACTCTTGATCATTTAATATTTGTATAAAAGAAAACAGGAATTTATTTAAAAAATCAATATCAGTCCAAATCTGGGGTCAGTAGACTTCCAATTCCTCTGTCCTTAAATCTCTCTATGGCAAATACTAATGATTAATGGCTCTGCCCTGAGTCCTTCCAAACCTTAATATCCCTCCTGATACACTTTCTAAAACAGAAAATGGCATAAATGTTTTTAAGAAGGATTTTCAGTAAGAGTATCTTTAAAAACTTGTACCTGTCAGAGTTACAGAAATCCAAAAGATTTATCCTGTGATAGGATTTCCAAATTGCCTACCCTCTTTGTTTCTTTTCAGTTATCCTTTCCACTGGAGCAGTGTTTGCAGGGTGAATTTGATGTCTATTGCCACCAAGAATAGCATCAACATTAATTTGGGCAAAAATTGCTAGGGGAAATCTCTGGCCCTTGACTTGGTTTCATCTCACCCTTGGGATGAAATTATTCTGGTCACTGCTGCTGTAGCCCAAAGAATAATTTCTCACTTGATAAGCTATACTCATTATGCATTCAGAGTAAGATCGCTAAAGCTTAAAGATCAGGTAAGTTAAAGAACTTTAGTTCTTTAGTCAACCATCCAGTATTTTAATAGTTGAACCTGTATAGCCAAATTAAAACGTGAAAAACTATACTTTCCTACTGAAACATTCCTGCCTTCCATCTCTTTCTCTATAAATAAAGTGGCGAAGGCAGACAGACACATACACATAAGGAGAAAGAAAAGGAAGTTATGTATGTGATAGGGAACTAGAAATGTATAACCATACATATCAACTTATACACACACACTGTGTGTGTGTGTGTGTGTATATATAGTATTTATAGTGTATATATATATACATACATATATATAGTGTGTATATATATAGTATTTATAGTATGTATATATCTCTACATATATTCAACAAGACATACTTGTATGTAATATATGTTCAATAAAAGGAGAGATGCTTCTCAAAGTGACAATAATATTGTTGCACAACTTTAATTGTGGCTAAGATGAAACCCACTAAGACAGAGCAATTATCAATAAAATGGAATTCTCCAAGTGTGCTTATCTAGTTTTTCCCATTCTCTAAATGATCCTATAATTTGACTTCATTCCTTTTCTTTCTATTCTTCCTTCCTTTAGCTAGCCATAACTCTCCCTTTACCTAGAGTGTTGTCTTAGTTTTTGTTTGCTTTATTCAATAAGATTTATATCCCTTGTCATTAATTTTGGGGAAAAAAACTTGAATATTTTATAGTGCTTTCTTTCTCTCAAGAAGAATAAAACTAAATTGCTTTTTTATTTACATCCTTGATTTATTTCTCTATTGTGCAGTGTCCCACAGTCAGTTCAAAACCTTGAGTAAAACTTGACATTGCTTCAGTATGCAAGGTGAAAATTATTTCAAGTATACAGTGAAAACATTAAACAATTTAAAAAATCATAATATGCAGATTGCAATTTAAAACTCTTTTGTTGGGAAGTCATTTTCTCCTCTCCATTAGAGGAGAAAAATTATTCACCTATTATTTACCAGTATGACATTTTTGGCTAGCATTGTTCACCTTTGCACAGTCAGACAAGCTGAGGATATTTCCAAACTACTCATCCCTATGGCCACAGTGAAGAGACAAGTCAAGCTTGAGAGTCCCAAGCAACTCCTTGGCCACTGTGGACAGAGGTCAGGCAGGAAGCTGCAGAGCCTACTGTGGGGAGGAAGAGGATTTCAGAGAAATTCATTGACAAAGCCTTGATATTTTAATCACTGTATGACCATGGTGAACCCTTCACAGATTTTCCTAGAACCCTCAGAAAATTAAATTAGCTATGTCTACAGTTAAATTATGTTATAGTTACCTAATTGGATATATATATTTTAACTTTCACTTATAAATAATACAAACGTAATGAAAGAATGAGAAAAGGGTAAGTGTCAAGGACTAGCACTTGACTCACCTACTTCTAAGAATAATACCAAAAGAAAAATGACTTACTGATTTAGACTGATCAAAACAGCCATCTTTTTTGTGTTGTTAGAGTGAAAGATGCAAGGTATAATGAGAGCTTTACCCAAGAGCTTTTTACTCCCAATTTATAAGGCATCTCTTCAAATGTGGCCGACTATTGAAAACTCTGATACAGGCAGAACTTCTACTCAATTTCATTCCTCAGGAGTTTATGCCTTTAGGTTTCAATTTTACTATTGAACCCAATCTGTACCCCAATTTCTACGAACACTTTTCCCTGCCTAATATAGCCTAAAGCCCTAAATATCAGTATTTTATTCACTTAGCTTTACAGTGCTTAAGAGTTCATATTAAAGCTCTATCTCTCATGTGCTTGTGTTTTGCAAACAATTTTTAACTAAACATCAATAGAACTAGATTCTAATTTTGATGTTGCAAGTAGCAGGTAAGGTGACTTGTAAAGTGATTAAGTGAAAGGAAATATTGGTGCCCCTTAACTTAACCCTGTAGGCAATATCAATGCAGTCTGTAAATAATCAGATGTATTTCTTTGTACTGTATCCCATTCAATCCCTGAAATCCACATACTTTTTTTTTAATTAAAGTATCATTGGTTTAAATTCTTGTTAGTGTTTTGGAAGTATAGGATTTCCACCATCAGGTGTAGCCACCATAGCATACCCACCTCTGAAGCACTTTTAGTCTGCCACCAAGTCCATAGTGCTCTCTCCCCACCTTGTTCTCACCCCTTCCTTCTTTCATTGCTTTAGTTCTATGATCAGCTTTCAAAGGTTAGTTTTAATGTTTGTCATTGCCTGACCTTTGTTTGGTTTCTCTACATTCCATGTGTAAATGATAGCATCCAGTATTATCTTTATCCTTCTGGTTTATTTCTCTTAACATAATCCTTTCTAGCTCCATCCATGTTGCCACAAATGTCATGAGTTTTTTGATCACTGAGTAGAATTCCATTGTGTATTAATACCACATCTTATTGATTCAAAATCTATTTTGGGGGACTTAGATTGTTTCCAGAGCCTACATATATTTCGAGTTTGTTGAAAATAGTGGCAAGCATTATGGTGGGAAAGCGTGATTTAGATACCAAAATCTTCAACAAATGATGTGTGGAAATTTGGCAAACAACAAGAGCAATGAGGATTAAAGGTGTTAGAATTGAATGGCCTAAGCCTCTGAACATCATGGTTTTTACAAGACTTAAAAAACTGTGAGGAGTTATCTTAAGGAAGTAGCACTGAAAAAATAGGAAAATCTCAATCCCCCTCGCACACCTGAATGAGGGAATGAGGCAGTATCAATCTCTTGGGGAAAACAGGGGAAACTATAAAGAACAGTCTAGAATTAACATCAGGAGATAGAGCAGTCAAGAACCTTGAGAAGAAGGGTTCATAGAGTAGGAATTTCTGTAAGTAAAATAAAAGATTTTTGAGGGAGAATTGGAGTAAAAAGCTGGGTTAAGGAGAGGAAGCACTGAGAAGTATGAAAGTAAGTGATGGAGGGGCAGAGGTAGCCAATAAGGTTTACATGTTAGGTGACAGACAGGGAAAAATGTACTGTGGCTTTGGTCTCACAGATTAAACTGTGGCCCAGAAAGAAGGCCTGATACTGGGCAGCAAACAGTGCATGTGCCCTCTCTTGATTTGCAGGGGTGTAGAGTGACCTGTAAAAAGGGAAAACTTAAAGGTTCACTGTGTCGAGGCAATAGAGAGAGACCAACATGATCCCCATGAGAAAGGTCGCAGTGACCTAATGTGCTTCTTAGGACGACTTGTAGGGAGAAAGTAGATACTCAGAAATATATCTCTTGTCAGGCTCTATAAGGGACTGAATCTGTCACTAAAAGCAATTACTCAAGTTTGTAGGATTGCACATGGAGGCTGATAGAGACAACCTGTGGAAACCACAGTGCCTAGGCCTTCAAGCTGGTCTTCGCTGAGTTCTCAATGGCACATTCTCAGTGTTTTTCGTTTGTGCTCTATTTCCTAGGTTTAACAACAGAAGAAGCCCGAAATTGTGTCTCCATTGAAACAACGAAAGGCTTTTTTATTTTTTCAAAAACAGAAGTGGAACACCGTTGTACCACAAACAGGCTGTCAGAAAAATACGAAGGTAACTATAACTCTCTCTAAGCAGTTCACCGAAAGTCCTGAGATTGGCAGTGATGTTAGTGATATATTGCATATGATTGTGCTGTTTTTAGCTTTTCATTTATGTACCTTGTGCAGTGCAGGAAGGGTATAAATAAAGTATTGTTCAGACTACATAAAAGGGGATTATTGATTTTTTCCCCTAGACCAAACTCAATATTATGCATTGTGAAGTAAACATGGTTGTGAACCAGGTTTCCTGTCATTGAGATACCACCTCATACCTTTGAGAATGAGTAATATCAAAACACAAAAACAAAACTGGTGAGGGTGTGGAAAGAAAAGAAGCTTTGTACACTTTTGGTATGAATGTGGACTGGTCCAGCCCTCATGGGAAACAGTACAGTTGTTTCTCAAAATATTAAAAATAGATCTAGACTATAAACCAGCAGTCGACTCCTAGTATCTATCCAGAGAATACAAAGACATTAATTTGAAGGGATATATGCACTTCTATGTTCATTATGTACAATAATGAACCATACTATGTCCAGTATTCAAGTTATAGAAACAACATAAGTGCCCAAAGACAGATGGGCAGATAAGAAAATTTGGATTAGGAAATGGAATACAACTCTTGCTATTTATGACAGCATGGCTGGGCCTGGAGGGGACTGTGCTAAGAGAAATAAGTCAGAAGGAGAAATACTAAATACTGGCAATTGCATTCATATGTGGAATACAGAGAAACAAAACAAGGAACTGACAAAACTAAACTGAAATAAATCCAAGAAATATGATTGCAAAATTAAGGATACTAGAGGATAAGGGAGATTAGGGGTGGGAACCAAGGAAGAAAGAAACTCAAATATGAAATAGATGTCAGAGTCACTTTCAATCAGTGTACGATATATTGGCAAATACTTATTTCTCTTCTGTTTTTATTAAAAAAATATAAAATCTCTAAAAATACATTCCTTATGCCTTTATGTATTATCTTATGCACCTTACCTTGAAAAGCACTGTGCCACTTTCTTCAAAGAAAGGATGTTTCTCATTGTTCTAATAATTCCAGATTATTTTACTGTAGAATTTCTAAACCAGGAGTCAAGGTCTAATCTTTACTGACACTCTAGCATAAACACCAAATTATTGCCATGAATTATCATCTACCTCGCCCACTTCCTTTTCACTTAATTTTCTTTCTCACTACAATTTCCCTTTACTTAATTCTACCCATATTAATTAAAGATAGTATTAGTCAATGAAGTTGTTTTTAAAATTTATCTGAAAGATCTGTACTATATAATTCAACTTTATTTTTTTTAATAATAAATTTTATTTTTATATTCCCCATACTCAACTTTAAAGGGCATTGATTCTAAAGAAACATTGTGTCAACTCTAAACTTGAGGTTTACTTTGTTTTCCCTTGGTTAGTTGTGCTTTTTATTCCTGTCTTTAGGCTTACAAGCATCCTATCAGCTTTTTCTGTAATTGGAAGTCTCCAGCATACCCAGCAACTATAAGCAGTCCTGTTGTTTGTTATCTATATTTACATCCCAGCCCCACTTCTTAGTGACCATGTGATCTAGATCAAATTATATCCAGCTTTAGTGTTCATGTTTATAATAATACATATTCAGGATTGTTGTGGATTACATAAGATAATATTTGCAAAGTGCTTGGTATATACAAAATACTTAATAAATAGTAGTTGTTAGTGCTTCTATTATCGTTTCTATTATTAAACTCCCTAGAGAGATGAAGAGGACTGTTTTTTGCTTTTCACTTAGCTTACTTAATGGGCAACATGACTGTACCATCTACTCCCTACTGTGCAAATAGACTTTCTTTAAAGTTTGAATTTGCAATAAAATTAAATGGGTAATTTTCTGAAACACCTTGCAGGTTCATTTCTTCAGGGAGCAGAGAAATCGATATCCTTGGTTCAAGGTGGGAGGAGTGAATATGCAGCAGCTTTGGCATGGGAAAAAGGGCGCACTGGGCCAGAGGAGAAGATATTTTCTGATTGGTTAGAATCAGTAAAGGAAAATCCTGTTGTGATTGACTTTGAGGTAAGATTAAAAAGTTATTATGGCTGGGCCTCCCCGGTAGCGCAGCGGTTGAGCGCTGGGTTGCGAAGCTGCCCGCGGCCTCTGCAGCGCTGGTTTGATCCCTGGCCACCGGGCAAGGGTCCCACATGGCACGCAGACCTCTCCTGCCGCCTGCTGCTCCCCTCAGCAGTGTAATTCGGTCCTTCTGCCTGCTCTGCTCTCCCCTCTGGCTCTGGTGAATTCTCTCACCCTCCCGCACTTCTGACTGTGCCCAGTGCTTGTATAAATAAATAAATAAATCTTAAAAAAAAAACATATTGACATCTTTAAAAAAAAAAGTTATTATGGCTAAGAGAGCTAAAGTAGTTCTCTAGTGGCCCAAATTATATGTCACACAATTCCTTTTCCGTTTTTCTTCCATATGATAAAGGAAATGTCTTCTGTTGGTGTGCATGTTCCTCATGCTTTTTTAAAAAGTATATATTAAATTACACATCTACTATTTACTTTTTACTGTTCAAACAAGCATTTACTATTCAAACAAGCATTATCTGGTACAGAATTTAGAATTACTACTGTGTGTGAAATACCAGAAAGGGAATTTAGTGAATAAAACTGATCAAACTTACCTAGAGTAAGGCTCCTCATCTCCCCATGTATGTAGTACATTTAATGTTTGTATTTTTCTTGTAATTCTTTATTTGATGAGCATTCCTAGATCTTCCTTTATAGCTCTGTGGGATAAGTGCAATTCTATATCCTGTTTCTTTTTCTATCCACCACTAAGTAAATATACCAGTCTCTCATTTGTTGTAATTACATCAAAGGTGATTTTTATTATTAATGGAATACTTGGCTCACATACAGTCAACATGCCATTTAGAACCAGTTTTGCCTAAAACATAACTACATTTTTAAAACCCCCAAAGAAGCTAATTTGTTTATTTAAATAAAGTCATTCAATCATTATGTAAGTGGAAAAATTTGTCCATAGTGTGAGGATACACTGAGAGTTCTAGATTATGGTAGGAAAGCAAGGCCCAGCCACCCATCTGGGCATGTGTGAGTCACACACTGCACACTGGGTAGTCCTTCTTTGGGATTTGAAAGTGCTCATTAAAGGAGCCCTTTTTTTTGTTAGCTTCATTCTTTATTACTGTAATTCTTCCATTGATCCTGCTGACAAGTTCATTTTTCCATTAACTCCTATTCCACACATTCTCATTCAGTCCTCTTAAAGTTGATCCTGTCCCTGGAAAAACATAGTAGAATCCCAGGGAAAGTAAGCTCCAGATCATCACAGTTGTCATAATTTAGAGACAACAGAAACCAACTCCTCTTGCAGAGATCTGTTTAATCCACCATAGAAGGGTAAGAAAAATCCCCCTCATGAAAAAGGGATTTTTCTCTACTTTTCATCAGCCAGATATGCTATATTCTGCAGTCATCCCTTTGAAGGGTGAGATATTCTAGATCTTGCCTCTCATTCTATAACAATTCCAAATGTTGCCAGTGATGACAACATCTGCCAAATTGATGTGGCTGGGAATGGACCTCTGCTAACTGTTCTTAGCTTGCTCCCATCATGGACCTGGTAAGAAACATCCCCTGTGCAGTGACGAAACGGAACAACCTGAGGAAAGCATTTCAAGAATATGCAGCCAAGTTTGATCCTTGCCAGTGTGCTCCATGCCCTAACAACGGCCGCCCCATGCTCTTGGGCACAGAATGTTTGTGTGTATGTCAGAGTGGCACCTATGGTGAGAACTGTGAACAGCGTTCCCCGGATTATAAATCTAGTAAGTAATAACAGTTTATGGTGAGGCAGCCTTTTCCCCTCCAAAAGGCATTCTAGGTTGGTCAATTAATAAAATAGAACAAAACGAAAGTTCCACCTTCTTCAAACTCACAAGGAAAAAAAGCCTGCAAAATATTAGACTCCAAAGTCAAACAGCCCTGATGAGAATCTCTGTTGTAACCTGCCAACTATGTGACTTTGAGAAAGCTTCCTACCTCTCTAAGGTTTAATCTGTCATCTATAAAATGAGGTTACTAGCAACATCTACCCTAGTATTAAATATATATAGTACTGCATATTATGTATAATACATTCTATTAAATTTATATAAAGAATACACAGCACAATACCTACAGCAGAAAATAAAGAATAAAACATACTATAAAATAAAATAGATGAGGGCCTCCCCGGTGGTGCAGCGGTTGAGCGCTGGGTTGCGAAGCTGCCCGAAGCCTCCGTGGCGCCGGTTCGATCCCCGGCTGCTCCCTGGCCACCGGAGGAGGGTCCCGCATGGTGCGCAGACCTCTCCTGCCGCCCGCTGCTCCCCTCAGCAGTGTACCTCGGTCCTTCTGCCTGCTCTGCCCCCAGCTCTGGCTCTGGTCAATTCTCTCACCCTCCTGCGCTTCTGACTGTAGCTAGTGCTTGTATAAATAAATAAGTAAATCTTTTAAAATAAATAAAATAGATGACACTGTTATAAGTATCTTATATATTATAATGTAGGATGAGAATGGCTGTGTAATAAGGAAATTAAAGTCAGCCAAGGTTTTCCTACAGGAATGAGTAACATTCATGGTTACCTCCTATCTCTTTAGAAAGACAATGTGTCGAGGAAATGAGAATAAATTCTATCACCTATAAAAATGCAATGTGATATATATTCTATTCAAAAATTCACATTTATGCATATATGTATATGCACGCATATATTTGTGTATGTGATATGTTGCTGCTAGTTGGAGAAGATTCATAAATATTGTCATTATCTTCAGGCTGTGGGAACAGGAAAGGGCAAGCACGTGATGTGTAGAACTTTCCATGGGTCACTTCTTTTAATCCTCCACAAAGCAGTTCACATGGCTGGAAAGAGCAGCAACCAAGTTGGCCTGGCTTAAAACCCCATTCTCTAGGCTGGGTGGGTCTTCCCTTATTCCAGATGCAATTGATGGGAACTGGGGCTGCTGGGCTTCCTGGAGCACATGCGATGCTACTTACAAGCGATCAAGGACCCGGGAATGCAACAACCCTGCCCCCCAGCAAGGAGGGAAACCCTGTGAAGGGAAGCAGCGCCAAGAGGAGGACTGTACTTTTTCAATAATGGAGAACAAGTAAGGATGGGCAAGGGGAAAGAATGGATCATTTTTCCCACTAAAATCAAGAGTTAAGATATTTTTTTATCCTACTGCTAAATAAAAAATAAATCATTAGAATTTTGCCTATTCCAGGACAACATATTAGTGAGGTACTGGGTCTGCTGCTATCCCTGTCCCATATGTGTGTCTCTCTTACAGATACTTGTACATATTTGTAATGTGTATATGTGCATGCATATATGCATATCCATGCACACATTAGTATGTGTGCATACAGTTGATCCTTGAACAATATGGGCTTCAACTGTGCAGGTCCATGGAGAGACCCCACAACAGAAGGATTAACAGCAGAAAACTTAATGGAGATCAGCACTTGCAATTATGTCAGACAAGGAAGATATTATATGCAGATTTTCCCACTGCATGGGCATTGGCAATCCTAACCCGTGTCCAGTTAAGGATCAGCTGTATCTATACACACACACAGATGCACATATGTGTATACATTTCCATACATATGCATACATACTAGTTTTTTCCTTTAGTGGACAACTATGTATCAGTGATGATGAAGAAGTGAAAGAAGTGGACCTTCCTGAGGTAGAGTCAGATTCAGGTTGTCCTCGGCCAGTTCCTCCAGAAAATGGATTTATCTGGGTAAGCATCCTCACTTTCCTCATTTCAGGTTTGGAGTTGAAAAATAGAACTAAATAAGTATGCATTTTCTTTAATTTAGAGTTAATTTAGTAATCTATTTATTTAAAAAGTAAAAAATAATATTTAGAAGTGCTCCACCACTCCTTCTCGAATTCCCTGGAGTTTTCTTCATACCTAGTTGTTAGAATGAAAGATACTTGTGTTCACTGGCACGGCTAGGTTCATATACTAATGGCATATTTCTGTCACTAGAGAATGGAATTTGAGCATAATATAGGTTTTGAATGACTTGTCAGAATCTGTAACTAAGATTTGGCTGCTTACTTCTGAGTCTCAAGCATAAGGCATCTAAGGCATATTATCAGAGAAACAAACTTGTCTTGGCTACAGTCATAAGGAGTGTTGCATCTGTCATATCCTACTAAGTTAAAAACCTGTGGAACTCTCAAGGGGTCATTATAGTTTTAATATAATTGGTGTAAATGTTATAATTTTATCTCTTTTTCATTAAATCGCAATGTTTCTATGATTGAAAAATATTTTTTCAGGCAGGTCTGTGGCTTTGGATATAAACTTTCAAGAGGCACATACCATTTTTTTTCATTTATTATTTATTTTTAATTTATTTTTATTTTTTTATTTACATAATTTTTCATTTTTAAACAATATTTGCTTCTCCCCACCCCCTCAGGTGTAGTTCCCCTTCTCCAATGCACCCGTGCACCCTCACGTCAGTCCCCTGTGCTCCTCCCTCCCTCCCTCTGATCCCTCTCCCCCCTCCTCCCTTGCAGTATGTCTCTGATTTGTAATTATCTGTTTTTGCTTTGTTGTGTTTTGTACTGTTACTATTTTTTTAGATTGATGTCTTATTTGGTTCCTCTATAAGTGAAACCATCCGATGTTTTCCTTTTTCCTTCTGGCTTATTTCACTGAGCATAATTCCTTCTGGTTCCATCCACATTGCTGCAAATGGCATGAGTTTATCTTTTTTGATTGCTGAATAATATTCCATTGTGTATATATGCCACATCTTCTTGATCCAGTCATCTATTTTGGGGCATTTAGGTTGTTTCCAGGTTTTACCTATTGTAAATAGTGCTGCAATAAACTTAGGGGTACAGGTGGTCTTTTGAATCAATGTTTTTGTGTCCCTTGGGTAGATCCCTAGTAGTGGAATTGCCAGGTCATATGGTAGCTCCAATTTTAGTAGACTGAGGAACCTCCAGACAGCTTTCCACACTGGTTGGACTACTTTGCACTCCCACCAGCAATGTAGGAGAGTTCCTATTTCACCTCACCCTCGCCAACATTTGTTGTTGCTTGTTTTTTTGATATGGAGGCACATAATATTTAAAATCAATTTTACTATTTTTTAAAATTTGACGTTCTTAAACTCAGGAAAGGCTTTAAGTTAGACAAAGAGGATGACAAGGAAAAGAGAACTTTGAGAAATACTTAGAAGTAGAAATAATGAGGACTTCATAACTGAGTAAATAAGGAGCAAAGGAATAGAAAGAATCCAGGATCACCCCAAGGTGTTGAGATTATTATTAGTATTAATAGTTTTCTGGTTTCTGTTTTAATTCTAGAATGAAAAAAAACTGTACTCCGTTGGGGAAGAAGTTGAAATCTCATGCTTTACAGGATTCAGAGCTGTTGGATACCAGTACTTCAGATGCTTACCTGACAGAACCTGGAGACAAGGAGATGTGGAATGCCAACGTGAGAACGGGGCAAACACTTTGCATGGGGACTCTAAGGGATAAATGTGCCCAACATAAGTAGAGCAGATTCACACCTTTAGATCAATATATTTTATCAGCTTTTACTAATTCTGGTGAAAAGGTTTAGTGACACAGAAAATAGGATTAATTTACTAAAATTAAATTTCAAAATATCTTCATATTTCAATTCACCAGCCCTTGCATATTAGCTTTATATACACAGAACTGCAAAGCATGAACTTAAGTAGAAATCCAGGAAGTCTGCTGTGTCTCATGGCAGACATCTGTGTGGCCTGATGGAAGGGGATGAGTCCCAGGAAGATGACACTTCCCATCTTTATGTATCTGTCAGCAATAGAATTTTATGTGAAATGCAGTTTGTAGCACATCCACATCCTTTGCTGAAAAAAGACAGGAAGAGTTTGTGGACTCCGCACTTCTCACCCTATAGTAAAGTCAAAATGAGATTCAAACAAGGCTCAAGTGGAGATACTCAGATTTATGCTGCAGTATCCATGAGCGTGTCCTGCTTTTGTGTCACCCACACTGTGGTAAATTGCTTGTGAGAAAACCCTTTAGGGAGAAGAGGAAAGAAGATTTGAAAGAAAAAAGTCCCAATAATGTAATGGAAGTTCCTTAACAAGGGAATGTCGCCTGAAGACACTAAAAAGAGTTTATCAGTAGATGCTTGAGATACTAAACCCCTAGATTTGCTTATTTTTTTTTAAACTGCATTAAAGCTAATCCGATGTAGGAAATTGTATTAAAATTGCTACTTGGGTTCCATAAACTTTGCCTATATTCATTGAGTTTTCTGCACCATTAAGTACATCTGAACTGTTTTTCTCTCTGCAGGGACAGAGTGCCTCAAACCAGTTTTGCGGGAAACTCTAACAGTCTCACCATATCGAAGTGTGTATAAAACTGGTGCATCCATTGAACTGTCCTGCCCGAAAGGCTTTGTCATTACTGGGCCTAAGAGCTACACTTGCAGTGGGCATTCCTGGACACCACCCATTTCGGACTCACTTACCTGTGAAAAAGGTGAATAGCAGCTCAGGATTCTGGGGTCTGCTAAGGCAACGTCCCCTATAATTAGTAGTCTAGCACTGACAGTGGAATTATACTGTTAAGTGTGCTTTGGGTGGAGAGACTGAGTTCACTGTTGAGCTGAGTAATACTGACCAACCCCATGAGGTCAGGCAGCAAATAAGAAGTTCTTGGTCAAAATGATATCTTCAAATTTTAGAGAGTAAGGTCACTTACCTTCCCAATATAAAACTTCAGTATGTTGAGGGAGTGCAAGTTCTCTCAGAATCAGAATTGATGGTTCTTGGAAATTTTGGTTAAAGTGATAACTATAAAAAAAATACCCACATGATTATTTTATTTTAACTTAAATTAGCAATACACAAGTATTCAATAATTTCCTGACATAAGAATAAGTTATTTCATTTCCAATTAGAGTTCCAAGACTTCATCCTTGGAAAAAAAGCAAATATATAACTTATCTATGTTATCCCATACCTAATTATGGGATGTAAATTCCTCTAGAACATTGGGTTTTCACACTACACATGAGGTACTTCAAAAAATACCTCTTCCTATGTGATCCTGTACTCCTGAAACATATACAGTGTTGTGAACCAATGTTACCTTAATTAAAAAAAAAAGAAGAAGAAAGAAAAAGAATTATGACCTATGGAAAAAGACTGTATTATAGCATTAGCTCACTTCTAACCAGAGTCAAGATTAGCTTGAAGCCAGTGATATAAATGCCTCATGCATAAAAATAAAAGGAAGCACTAAAAAGAGTGGAAACCAATCCAGTAATCAAATCATTTTAATGCACTTTTAAGCAAATCTAAATAAATAACAATAAAAACCAACCAATACACACCTGTTTAAGATTAGAAAAATTTTTTTTTAGTTTTTTAATAAAAAAATTACATTTACTTAGAAGCATTCAGAACATTTGCAACTTTTTGGGGGGATAATTACAAAGTGGTGTTCAGTTAACAGAACAATTATTTCATGTAAGCTCTATCAGAGACAACTAAAGATGAAAAACTACCACCCCCATATGTAACTAATTTGTGCTTTGAGCCAACAAAATCCTGCTTTAACTTTCCATGCCATTCTCTTACCAGGCAAGAATAGTGACTAAGAAAATAGCAGCAGGACAAGGCTGTCTAAAGACACACTTCATAGTGTTAACAGTATCCCTCCCCCCCACAAAAAAGACACAATTAGTTTAAAAACAGATCTTACACAGCCTTATATTTCAGTCTTTTTTCTTTAAAAGGAGCAGGGTAGGGAAGGCTCTGGAACTGCAGAAGCTAGTCACTGTGAAGGCTGGAGTGTGGCGCCGGCTGAGAAGAGGAGAAAAAATAAATAAAACTAAAAGGAGCAGGGTATATACAGGGAGCTTAAATAAATTATGGACAAGAAAAAAAAAAAGCTGCACTAGAACTAACTTACCATTACCATCCTCTTCATCTTCTTCCTTTTCCTTTCCCCCTTTTCATTGTGAGTATGTGTATGTGTATAAATTATATATAAATTACATTATTATATTCCTTTTTTCTAGTAGTGTTATTCACAACAAATTCAAAACAAAATTTTTACAAATCATCTTTAGTTGTTTAAAATTTTCAGCTTAGTTTTTATAAAAATACTCCCCTTTTCCTCCTTTATCAGTTTATACGCTTACTCACCTTACACAGTCACAGTAAAAACTAGCATAAATGGACTTGGAAACAAACAAAACAGACTTGGGAAACACAGTGCGCCATATGGGAGCAGAGAGAGTGGCTGGAAGGGCAGGAGGCCCCGAGGGCATCGGCTGGTCTGCAGTTTCTTGGAAGGTGCTTCAGAAGGCTTCTCATTCATATCTTTCAAATTTCTCAACATGCTTGTGCAAATGATGTCTCATTCTTAATCAGAGACGCCTTGAGGATGAATGCAAGATCAGGTAGGAATGTGCCCATCTTGGTTCTGAAAAACTGCAGACTCAGTGGTTCAGTTAGACCCAAGGTCAGACAGCTAGGGTCAGACTCAGCTAATCTCCCAGACTCTTTGTCATTTTGCCTTCTTTGTTTTTCCTGGGTTTTCATAACACGTGAAGAAAAGGGTAGGAGGAGTTGAACTGTTGAATAACCATAGAATTCTTCAGGCTATTTTTCATGGAAATTTGCGAAAATGTTAACCCCCTTCCTCACACACGCACTATGGGATTGCTCATCTTCACTCAGGCATCATCTCCTTGTGGAGTTTTGCTTACATTTCTCAGCCATCGTCTTTTTATGACAGGATCTCCTGGAACCATGTTCTCTTTTATCAAAAATAACTGTTTCTATCTTAAGTATGTGTGTAACTATGATCATTTTATTAATGATTATCCCACAATCCTTTAAAATAATGAAAAAAAGGGGGGACCATAGCTACTTTTGTCTCTTTTTGCCCCATCGTAATATCCTAGTGTCTAGAACATCATGCAGAGACAAATAACTACATTCAGGAGTTATGTTTCCCCATTTATTCTTCTTATAGAAAAATCTGTCTTTCAGTATGAAATCTATATTGCTAAATGCAATGAACATTATTTTGGTTCTCATCTCCCTTCATCTCTCAACATTCAACTGTGTTCACCTTCTGCACATACATTTGTTACCTGGCTTTCAAAATATACCACCATCTTGTTTACCTTCTACCTCTCCTGCTGCTGCTCTGTTTTTCACTGACTCCTGACTGTGCTTGGACATTAAATGTTGGAATTCCTCAAAGCTCAAATCTGACCCTTCACCTCACTTATGTTCTTTTACTGGGGAACTCATAATTTCAGTGATCTTGATTTTCCTTAACCAAACTTACCCTCATTCAGTTTCAGGAAAGTCACTTTCTGCCTCTTATGAGACTTTCATGCCTGATATTTCCTTTGCTTCAAGTATTCTCCATTTTTTCTTCCCGTTTACTATTCCTAGCCTTCCTACCTACATCAGTATTCTCGTGTATATGGTTTATATTTAACATCACCAATAACAAGCAATTCTATCTGTATGTCTGCCTCCGCAAAGCTATAGTGCAATGTACTATAGTACATCTGCAAGATCTAGATCAAATTTTGCTTAATCCACTATCTCCAGAACCTGACACAGTGCTGAAATATCATAGTGTTTCAATGAATATTTGAAAAACAAATGAAAAATTTCACCAATCCAATTTTCTTTAGTTCTCTGTACTTGGTAACAATTTTAGGTTGATAAATGGCAGCTAGTGCTCAGTGCTAGAAAAGGTCTTTCAGGTGGACTATTTCTTAACAATGTATTTGGAACAGCCAAAATGAATGCTCTAATCAGCAGGAGATAAACCTTTTACCACTGCCTTTTCTCCTGAATTTCAGCTTATCACTTGGAATCCATGCTGTGAAATACTCTTTTCCCCCTTTTCTTTTGTTTCAGATACTCTGACAAAATTGAGGGGCCATTGTCAACCAGGACAGAAACAGTCAGGATCTGAATGCATCTGCATGTCTCCTGAAGAAGACTGCAGGTAAGAGATCCTCTCTGGACTCTTTGGTAATTGGGAAAACCAATCTAGTGTGAACAGCTTGATAGAGGAACTGGGCTTCTTGAAGCACAAACATAACACATAGTAATATTTCACATAACTGATACCCCCGATGTACTTTTGAATGTGTCTTTCCTCTCTGGGAGGCCAGCTTTTTTTTTTTTTTTTTTAGAGGCATGCTTTATTTATTTGTTTGCTGGTTTGTTTGTTTGTTTTGTTTATACATGCACTGGGTACAGTCAGAAGCGCGGGAGGGTGAGAGAATTCACCAGAGCCAGAGCGGGGAGCAGAGCAGGCAGAAGGACCGAAGTACACTGCTGAGGGGAGCAGCGGGCGGCAGGAGAGGTCTGCGCGCCATGTGGGACCCTCCTCTGGTGGCCGGGGAGCAGCCGGGGATCGAACCGGCGCCGCAGAGGCCGCGGGCAGCTTCGCAACCCAGCGCTCAACCGCTGCGCCACCGGGGAGGCCCCAGCTTTCTTAATTATCTCTCAGCCAGTTCCAGCTTGCATGGCTTTTGTTTATTATTATAATCTCAGTTTTGTTTTAAAGACTTATTCCTGCCCATTTTTAAAGTTCAGACTCAATTATCTCAAAGCCTTTCTTCTTACCCCCTAAGCATAGGGCAAGTGTGATTCCAAACACGTGGGGAAGAGAAAGTGGTGTGAGCATGGACTTCACACACACACCTCTGTCAGTTTATTCATTCACATAGTGGTAGGGGGAGAGTACAGAAGAGGAAATATGATATGTCCTCATGTGACTTCCATGACTTGTCCTCTTGTTGTTATAACTGCCTTTTGTTTACAAGAAAAAACCCCAAGAGTGCTAATGGTACTCATTAATTAAAGAGCTGCTTTCAACTGAATTTGTTCCAAAATAGCATTAGCTTCAGTTTAAACTCCAGTTCTATCTCTTGCAAAATAAATGTGTACGTAAGTAATGCCAAGATTAAGATGAAATTTGAGCAACATGAATTCTACAGGATGCAAATGAATAGGGTGTCTGATGAAGAAAAAATGAGAAAGGGGAAGGGGGAAGGGTGATGGTTAAAGGGAAGAAAACTATGTGGGATGTTAACATATTTATTGACTACTATCTGTTTTTTCCTCCTGGTCTTCATATGTAAATGCTTGCCTTCTCTCTGGGGCAGCCATTATTCAGAGGATCTCTGTGTGTTTGATATGGACACCAATCATTATTTTACTTCACCGGCATGTAAATTTTTGGCTGAAAAATGTTCAAATAATCGGCAACTCCATTTTCTACATATTGATTCCTGCCAAGATGGTCCAGAGTTAGAATGGGGTCTTGAAAGGACAAAACTTTTATCCAGTAGCACAAAGAAAGAATCCTGTGGCTATGACACCTGCTATGACTGGGAAAAATGTTCAGGTAAGCCCTAGAAATACTAGAAATGTTTTCACTTAATCTTCATGTCAACTAGAACATCTTACTTGCATGTATATACTTTCTTAAAATAGCCTTTCCTTCATCAAGAAAATTTCATTTCATTATTTAAAAAATTATGAAATGGTTTGAGAGGAAAGGAAAAATATAACCCACCCACAATTATAAATCTGCTTTCACAATTTTGGTGTAAATCTCTCTAATCTTTTTTCTCTGCATATAAACCAACCACCCTTAGAGCCCAGTAGGAAGAACGCCTGACCCAATCTCATGCTTTGGGCACACTTCCCCACCCACAGCTTGGAGAACCTTCATCAGCATTGTCTAAGTTTTCCTCTAGCAGTTGGGATTGGCTGGCACCAGCATGCTGTCTGGGTAGAGTTCTCTGACCTCAGGTGTGTTCTGCATGGATACCAATTGCTGGGAGCACATTCCTCAATGTGTTTAAGTTGTCCTGCAGTGTGTGGCAACAGCAAGGGCTGGCAATGTTATTCAGACAGAATGTCTTGAGTTTAGACAACATTCCTCAAAGGTCTAGACAGTTTGTTTCTGTAGAACATTCTCTGACCGTCCATTGCTTCTCTCCTCTACCATGTAAGGGTCACCCCGGTACTCTGAGGAGCATAGGAATCAAGCCTATGGAGTCATCCCTGGCTCAGACCTAGGTGTTCCTTCTCAGAGAGCAGTCTGCTGAGCCCAAGTCAGCAGGGTGTTCTTTCTTAAGATTTGCTGATAGTGCATGCTAGTATGGTGCTGACACTGTAATTTGAGTGATTTTAATTCTTTATATGGTTAGGTATCCCATAGGAAAATTTTCCTGAGGGTCTCCAATGCCTCTAGGATGACTCTGTTTATATTATAAATTGTTTAAAAATAAAATGAGATTGCACTCTAAGTCCTATTTTATGTGTTGCTGTCTTTCACTTAATATCCTGAAACTGTTTCCATGTTATATACTATTCTGCCACATAATTTTGAATGTATGTGATAGAGTCTGGATATTCTGTGATTTATTAACCAAACTTATAGTATGCATTTAGATTTCCCCTATATTTTGCTATTATAAACAGAGCCATGATAGACAAATCTATCACAAACAAATCTATAAGTTAGTGCCTTAAGACATAATTTAGCAAATGGAATTTCTATGTAAATATTACTTTATATTATAGTTTTTATTGATACGATATATCACCTTGCATTCCAGAAATTTATATCATATTATATTCTATCCCTATCGACAATTTGTGATACACACTTCCTTCCACCTAATTCCAAAATGTGGAGCTATCATTCCTTTATGTCACTGCCAGTTTGACACTTATAAAGTGGCATTATATTTCCATTTTCCATAAGCGTTTTGACTATTGGCATATTCATTTGAGAATTGCTTGAAAGCAGAAACTTCACAGCAGTACATTTGTAAGATAAAATTTGACCCTGAAATAGTCCAACTAAAGTTTCATATAATATGTAAATATGGGTTGGAGGATTAAGATTTAACAACTCAATTAACAACTCAATAAACAGATTTCCCTTATGCCACATCTTCATAATAGAGGCATAAAGTATACAATGGAAACTTAGTGAATTGTTATATCTAACTTGTGCTAGAACCACCTTACTTTTGCAAAAACAAAGACAAAAACCTTACTGTTGCTTTTGACTCTTCTTTACTTCCCATTTCAATGATCTTCAGCTTGGTCTTCGGAAAGGGGAGAAGTCTTATTATCCAAATCCAGTTCCTTCCTGATCCACTTAAATCTGATGATCAAGACTCAGCTCCCTTGACAGGTGGCAGGACTGAACTCATAACAGAGGGTAGACATAGGTGCCACAGTCAGCTGGTCATATGATGGAGGCAACTCAGAAGTCAGTGTCCAGAGCTTCTAAACTTCATGCCACACCTGAACAATGCAATTGCATGTAAAAGACAGCAAACCAGGGCCCAGTGTACACCTTGCCCAGTTCTAATCAGCGTGAAATCACCTTGTAGATAAACATTACTATTGATTGTTTAGCTGCCTGACTTACTCCATTTCCCACCTGATACCTCTGTCAGGAACAATAATTCATGGTAGTATTCAAAATGATGCAACATCATTTTTTATTTAAAATATGACCCTTCTTCTCTGCAAATTATAGTGTAAGCACATTATTGTCAAAAACATGCAAAAAAAATAGGAAATTGAGTAGCAAGGAGAATAAAAATGGATGTATACTATAATATTTATGCAGTATAAGTATGTGGAATATGTTTAATATCAGCTTCCATTCTTCCTTGTTTATCGTGGAACTCTTCTACTGCAAAGAACTGTTTTTTGTTATTTTCTCACAAATTATTCTCTGAAATTTGAGTGAAAAATAATCTACGTTACATCAAAGTAACTGTCTTTACTTTTACCTCTCTGCTGTATGTTTATCTAGATCGCACAATCTCCAGGAGTGTAAATTAACTTTAAAAAAAAAACACTAAAATGTTTGAATACTGACTCATTTTTTAATTTTTAAGGTAATCAAACTAAAACATGAACATTTCTTAATATGAGATGTACGCCATTTAAAATATTATTTGATCTAGCACATAATCAGAAACTAAAAGCAATTTCCCCCACTGCCAGCCAGCCTTCTTTAGTTGGTAGCAGAAGTCAGTGTCACAGAGAATTCTGTTCATCTGTATTTATAGAGTAGTATCATTGTGCAAACCTCAGCATTTATGAAGAGAAAGTATTGAAATGTATTTAATACCCAACCCACTCTTGGCAAATTGGGATACTATTAATTTTGAGTTGAATTGAATGCCACTTTAAATTGTGTTGACTGTAGGGTGTGCTTTGCTACTCTTTTTCTTCTCTAGCTAAAATAAAATGTTTAAAATAGAAGTTCAATGTAAGATGAATTTCACTTCAAAAGTTTGAACACAAATGACTTCCCAAGGAGGTTTTATTTTTTTATGAGTGATGAATGTTTATCCTGAATTTCAAAATATCCACCATCATCTAAAAGAAGGGGAAATTTTATTCAGTAAACATTTAGTATCCAATATGTGGAAGGCAATGAAGAGGTTATGGTAACAGGCCTGAAGATTAAGGACCTTTTGTACACTCAAATGGTTCACAATGCTTGGAGGAGTACTTTAACACAATAATTATATGAACAACATTCATGCAAGGTAGTATGTGATAAGAGCTGTGAGAGAGAGAAAAGTATTTTCTGGCCTGGAGGGATTGTTAAGCATGAGGACTGAGTGTTGGAACATGAATTAGTGGAAGTGGTGGGAAGGACCTTTCAGTGCTTGTAGTCTGAAAATAATCTTACTAAATGCAGTGAGGAATGACAAGGTTCTTTCCACAAGCCTGGGAAACCCATATTCTCTCCAGGGATGGAACAGTTTCCTTTTCTTCACTAAACACTGTCCTTTCCAATGATGAAGACTTTTCTCAACTATTGATAGATTCTTATCTATTTGGTTAAGAATCTGGTTGAGCCAGAAAAGAAGGGCAATGCATGCTTTTTTCATTAAATATCTCCTGCCAAGGGCAGGAAATCTATGGGTTTCTGTGTATCTTCTTACATTCTTTCCATACTTTGTCCTATCAGTTAAGACTTCTGAGAAAGAACTGATAACTGCTTAAAAGCAACTCATTAATGACATCACTGCTGATTCTCAGAGTGTTTCAGATATTTAATAATGTGTCCTAGGCCCATCAAATACATTTCTTTTTGAATACTTAACCCTGCACCTCAAATTTAGACGTGAAATCAATTGATGAAACAGTTAATTGAGCACCTAGTTAAGAACTGAGTGGGGCATACAGTTGGATGAGCCATAGTTACTGCTTATGACACATGAGCACCTTTATTTGCTTTAGAAGAAAGACGTGAAAATCTTAATTAGCAAGAAGGTATAAAGACATCACATAGTGCTGGCAAATTTACATCATTAAAGTTTAGCGAAGGAAAAGATTTGTGTGAAGGTAAGTGGCTATGAATTGCTTCACAGGAAAGGTGAGACTTGTAGAAACTGGACGTGTAAGGGAAAGTGGGAAAGAGCACATCAGCTGATAGGAGTGTGTTGGCAAAAGGACAAAAACTGGAATAGCTGTGGGTCTTGTTCGCAAGAGAGAGAGGGAGCTGTTCTACCTGGAATGGAGGAAATAATTTGACATTGAACAGGAATGCTGAGGCCACAGAGTGGAGGACTTTGAACTTTGATTAAACACGTATGTATGAATAGTCCCAACTTATGATGACTCAGCTTATTTTTTTTTATGAAATATTTGGTGGAAACTATACTTTGAATTTTGATCTGTTCCTAGTGATTAAATACTCTCACAGGAGGCTGGTTAGCATGATGCTGGGGCAGCTCTATGTTAGTCCCTCAGTCACATGAGACGAACAACCAGTACTCTACAGATTGTTTTAACTTTCAGCACAATATACAGTAAAGTGTATGAGATATTCAACACTTTACTGTAAAATAGGTTTTATGTTAGGGAATTTTGCCCATATGTATGCTAAAGTAAGTGTTCCCAGCACTTTCAATGTAGGCTAGACTGAGCTACCATGTCCAGTAGGTTAGATGTATTAAAAATGCATTTCCAGCTATGATATTTTCAACTTAGGATGGCCTTATCAGGATGTTAACCCACTGTAAGTCTGGTAAGATCTGTATATGATAAGCTTATATCCATTTATTTAAATGTAATATCTTTGGCTTTGATAACTTTCCCCCAAATGATTATTTTCAAACTATTTTATAAACATAATATTTATATGAATGATGAAGTGATTGAGTGGCTCTGAAACTACTCCTCATAAGCAGCCAATTTAACTACTCATTAAAATATACAGATCCCCAAGCATAACCCAGGAATATTCTAGAAATAAGTTAACAAATGCTGTGTAAGTTTTATAAAGCATCCATCCTGACAGTCATTAGTGACTTAAAACCTGCCTGTGACACACTAATGGTGGAACCTGGGCAAACCACTTAGTCTCTCTGAGCTTATCCCCCACCTGTAGAATTTGCATAACATAGTTCATATGTTCACTGTGAGAGTTAAATGAAATGAAGCATGTTAAGTGTTTGGCAGATTGTATGGGTTCATAGTACAGCTCAGTAATTAATAACTATAAATGTACCAGGTAGTGCCTATGAGAAAAGTGTAGAAAGGACTAAAGATACTGAGAAAATAGGTTGTATGGCTGGATGTAGTGACTGAATGGAAGTGGACAGTGATAGAGAGCAGGGGTTAAAGATGACGCAGCTCTTCCAGCTTATAGACTTATTAGTGCACTCTGCTCTTTTACATCCAGATCACTCCATTCAGCCACAGTTGGATTTTCAGGTATTTCTTTTGTTCTGGCTTCCTCATTCATTGCCACTAAGTACTTGTCACTCTGGGGCTAAAAATCAAACCCTGAAATACTGTGGTGAGTCATACTGTCTTTCTCTCATTACAGCCTCCACTTCCAAATGTGTCTGCCTATTACCATCCCAGTGCTTCAAGGGCGGAGAAAATCTCTACTGTGTTAAAATGGGATCATCAGTGAGTAAGAAAACAGTGAACATCTGTGAAATAGGGGCTGTAAGATGTGCCAACAGAAAAGTGGAAATACTGCATGCTGGGAGGTGTTTGGCCTAACACAATCACTGGTAAACAGATTTACTGTCCAGAAATAACCCCTGCAAAAGGGAATGTTTGTACAAACAGCAGACTGGCACATCCTCATAAGTTCTTATGTGCTCATTTCATGTGATTATTTCCCTTGCCTCTGCTATCTTAGACTCCCCTATCCACTTCCAGTCCACAACACTGTAGCATACTGCTAAGTCATAGTCACATTATCTAGTAAATTCCTCTGTTCAAGTTGTACAAAAATGATGGGACTTCTGAGAAGTTTAGGAGCCTATGCTATTAAGTATTCTCACAAGCAGAAAAAGAACAAGACCATAATTTTCTTCACTGAATAAATAATTGTAGAAATTTAAAACTTGTGAAGCATGTTCTTGAAACCCAAACTTCATGCATTCATTCAATAAATAATTTGTGAATGCCTCCAATGTGACAGGTACTATTTAAGGCCCTGGGGAATCAATAGTGAATAAAACAGACAAAAACCCTTGCCTTCATGAAGGTCACATTCATGTGGAGGAAAAGATACAAAAAAAAATTAGAATAAAATAGGTTCGTAAAGTGTATAGTATATTTGATGATTATATTTGCTTTGGAGAATACAATGCAGAGAAGGGAGAATCCTATTATTAAACCTTATTTCCACAGGATTTATAGTAATATGAAGGATGACTGGATTCAAATGGAAATTATCTTATTTAAAGTAGATAAGGATAAATTTTGGAGTTTCTCTTAGAAAGGAGAAAAGATACTCTCTTTGCCTCAGCTAAAGGGCACCACAAAGTTTTTAAGCTGAATTGTGTGATGGATGGAAAATTATCAGAGAATTGTGAAAGAATGATTTTACAGTAAGTCGTAGCTTTTATATTACACCATAACAAGTAGATACCCCTTTCCATCTGAGTTCCAAGGCACAGCAGAGGGATGGAAAACTGGTGGTTCTTGTGGTTCTGAGAAGGAGCACATGAAGAGGAAAGGCAGGAGCTCTGAGACCATTCTGAGTTTTGACCATGACCCTATGGTAGGCACCAAAAGGAGACATAGATACCTCTCTCACAAGAAGTTTAGGGGGGACTAAGTGGGTAGGAGTAAGGCAAAGCATCACCCCAAGAAACACAGGGCCTGCCAATATTATAGAACCAAATTTAGTAAGAACAAGTTCAAAGTTGATGCCCCACCACTGATTGTTACATAAAACTCCTGCCATCTCTCCTAATCCAGTTCCTGAGTTCCAACACCAAAGAACCAGACCCAGCAGATGGAGCAGGGAGAGGCAAGCTAGACAGAGACAGGTTCCTCCCCATCACTTTTATGATGCTGCAGTGATTGGAAATGCACAAGAATAGCCTTCATGTCTTCCCAACCCCAGACCCTCTGACCCACAAGCCTGACCAAGAAATTGAGGCAAGAAAGGAGATATAAATTAGACATGAGAGTGGAAACTTATACAGGGTCAATTTTTTAAAGCAGAACCAATCCAAAATCTATGTAATCTTCCCTAGACTTATTTGAGGCAAGACAAAATGGAATTGGGTTGCTAGGATAGTGAAAGATGAACTAGATGGCTTAAGACAATGGCAGTATATTATATCACAGTTCTGGTGGCTAGAAATTTGCAGTCTTAGTGTGTCAGCGGAGCTGTGTTCTCTCTGAACCCTAAAGGATAGATTTCTTCCTTGTATTTGCTGGCTTTTGGTGTTTGTCAGAAATCCTTGGAATTCCTTGGCTTATGGATTCATCATTGCAGTCTCTATCACCACATGGCTATCTTCATTGTCTTCCTTCTGAATGACTCTCTGCCTAAATTTGCATTAATTTAAGAGAACACCAGTCATGTTGGATTAGACCCACTCTAATGCTTCTATCTATTGGATTACAGCTGTAAAGACTCTATTTCTAAATAGGGTTATATTCATAGGCACCAAGGGTTAGAACTTCAACATACTCATTTTTGCAGACACGATTCAAAACATAACACTAGGATGGAGAAAAAATATTTCCTGTTTATCCCATAATATAATCCAGGATTATACCAACTATCATGTTCATATTGTTTGATTAAAATCAGGCATGCTTGCTTTAAACTATTTTTTTTTTTACTTGCACCAATGTTCTCTTTGAATGATGCTTATTTGCTCTTTTTACCATTTTAGTTACCTTTCTTTCAAAGAATTTTTGAGTGCTCTAATCCATTAAAGTTTGCATTAGGGTAATTTGCATACCACTTACCAGTTGAATTTTTCACACTCTGATATTAATATTAATATAGCAATTTAGTACAATAAGTGTTAAGAGCTAGTGATAAAATTGTCATCATGAGGCAGAGAACAAAACTGAAACATATCAAAACCCTGAAATTTTGATCTAGACTCTCCAGTGCATCTTAGAATATTAAATGCTAGCACAAAGGTTAAAGTTTTATCATCTTAGGCTATTTGAGATGAATACTAAACATTCATCTTGTGAGTTACGTAACTAGCAACCAATTCTGGTTGGTCTTATGGCTTTTAATTTTTGTTGATTTTGCTAGATATTAACAGTATAAATGAGACCCCACTTTAAAGATCTTTATAAATAGATATACCCTGTATTTTAGACTTCCTGGAAATAGAGATGAAAGAGTGATTTTTAACTCTACATTTTTCTCTTATGGTGACATTCAAGTTTAACAAAAGGTTTCCCCTTTTTGACAGTGTTCAGTAGAGCTCACTAAATTTTAAAATGTTACTATTTTTTTCCCTTTCTACATAAGCCTGCAATTCCTCCAACCAAATTCCATAACTGTAAATATTGAGCTCTCTGTTATTCTCAGAAGAGCACCTAAAAGCTACAGCTAATCTGCATCCCTTCTTAAATTCTGGTTCTGTGTAACAAGAAAGTGGAAGATAATTGTCACTGGTTTTCTGGGTGGTTCTAACCACCAAATAACCTGAAACTTGATGAATTGGGTTCTAAGTGACTGGTTCTCACTGAGGTCACCTTCATTCTTCTGGAATACATCATGTGTGGAATCAATGAGACATCAACCTTCTAACCGTACAAATTGTCTGCAAAATTATAGTTGTATCCTTTCTGTTTTATGAGAGTAAGATCGGTCACTGCTCCCCTATTTGTCTTCTCGACAAGTTGTGACTGCCCAGCTTCAGTTCCATGTGTCAGATGTCAGGTAGTAGAGGTGTGTGTCACCAATCAAGGGATTGCAAGGGACAGATGTTGCATTGAAAGTCATACCCATAAAATTTATAGAGGAAGAGTTTCAACACAACATTATAATAGCAAAAATTGACAGACCCTAAATGTCCAATAATAAATTATGGGTCATCCATATGAAAGAACAAAAGGAGACCACCGACAAGCATCTTTTAAAACAAATAAGGAACAAAATAAAGAGTGGGAAAGCCAACCTGCAAAACTATATATGATTTGAGTGATGAAAACCTATAGCAATGAGTTAAACAGTGACGGGGAAAACAAATCTTGGGGGTTTAGAGTTGTTTTTATTTCCTTAGTTACATTTTTCTGCATGTTCTAAATTTTCTATAATCAACTTGTGACTTTGGAGTTCAAGCCAGTCAATTTAACTCTATTTGTTTTGAGAATTGACTGAAAAAATGGATGATTGATTGACTGATAGATAGGCAGATAGAGATGTAACAAATACTAAAGAGTCTAGAATGAAATGTGTACTCCTTATTACTACTTCTTACCAGTGGAGAAGAGTGACAGAACTTTCCTCTTTATTTCCTGTCACATGAAGCACTTCCTCTATTACTAATCTTAACGTTGAAAGCTGATTTATTAAGAATCCCAGGGTTTATTAGAGTTTTCAAGGGACGGAAATGGTAGGAACATTCAGACTTCACATCTGACTAAGCTGTTGAGATATGTTTGTTCACTGGCTCTTGCAGGCCTGGGCAGAATGAGCAACATCAGCAATAAAGGCTTTAAGTTCATTGTAGAATGAATCACCCTTTATGCCAAATAAATGGACATGGCCCAATGTTTGCAATCATAAACCTAACAATATATGGTATCAGACCCATGAATAGAAAATGAAAACACACTTATAGGATTACTTGCTTGCTACCACCCTGTCAGTGTTCAGGGACATTGTAAGTTTAGAAAAGGATATATTCTACCCTAAAACATGATCCTTAACATGCAAGTAAAGCCACATCATAGTTCAAAGCCATAGACCAGAAGTTGTTTTCCCTTGTCAAGCAGTGCTTATAACAACACCAGGACCGAGAGCGCTGGAGCATTTCTATTTTGTTTATAACCAAAAATGAACGACTGCTTTGGAGAGTGTCTCCCTTTCTGACCAATGAAATGTGAACAGATGTACATGTGTAGCTTCTGGGTATAACATGTAATTGCTGGCATGAACATTTCCCACAGCTCCGCTTTCCCTGTGGCATATTGGAAATGGTGGCTGGTCCTTCAGCACGAGGACCATCCCCATAAATGCAAAAATTGAATATATGTCTAAGATACTCATCATAAAATTTTGGATAATTTTATAGAAGTTTAGAAATGTTTACTATATCAAAGTTAATTACTAGTCTCATATTGCTTGATTACTAAATCATTCCTATTATATTTCACACTAATTGCTTATCAAAATTGCATTCTTAAGAATTTCAGGCATTTACTATTAATGCAAATATACAAAAATGGTTTCTTTACTCCAATATCTAGTGCTTGGATAGTCTTTAAAATAGCATATTGTAGCAGGTACTACTTATTACCCTTCCCTGCCCCCAGTCCATTCAGCTCCCTGCTAATGGCCAGTGTTTCTAACGTCTGGTCCCAGTATCCACACCAGAAACTGGAAGTAAATTGCAATTGGTTTAAGTTACTCAGTGCTCTGAGTGCTTGAAGACTGGCTCTGGTCTGAATTGCAGTACCCACCATTTTCTAACACAGACTTCCAAGCCTCCACAGCTTTTCCCAGGTTTGTGCCAGTGTTATCAGGTGTAGCATCAAGCACTTTGTAATATATAATCCTAACATAACCAGATCCTATATAGACAGTTTCATATCACCCTGACCCACTTTGAAGAAATGAACAGCATATTATCGCATGCCCCAAAGCTATTTCTGAATGATACAGATTTTACCGAGGATTTTGTAGAATTTCAGGCATTATGCCTTCGTCCCTACATTCAGGAGAGATGGACTCTCATTTCTGACTCTTCACGAAGGCCCTAAGTGCTGCTCCACCTGCCACCTGTAACCATGTTTGCTTGGACAGCCACCACATGCTGAGTCCTCCTCATTTATGAACACCTTGCAAACTGGATCCAAGGGTCACTTTCAATGGACTGTGGGTAGCCCCATGCTTTGCCCTCCACCTGCTCTTCAGAAGGGTATGTGGATACTCTCAGGTCTTTTCCTAGACACAGTCTGGTTCCAACCCACTTTTCCAACTGAACCTTAGAATTTGTTTTTGAGAGCTCAGGATGGATTCTAGAACCAGGCACTTGTTGGGACTCTAAAGGTACTCATAATGGGCCTTATAATTCAGCCCTGCTCTATTACAACAAAAGCTGAAGGTGCTATTAAAAATCCAATTGACTTCTTTCCCAGATTGTTTCGGGGGTGACTTTATGAAAAGAAATCAGCAAGACTGTCTGGTGAGGGATGCCAGAGGCCCAGGCTGTCCAGCTGTGGACAGATCAAGACAGAGAAAACTCAGCTTCCACCTGAAGCCTTAATTTAACTTCTTCCAGGGTTGGCGATATCAGCATCTGGTGTTCTTAGTGTGTAGACAGGTACCATGGGGCATCTAAGCCACAGTAGTAAATTACTTGTATACACAGTTGTTCTCAAGAAAATGTAAAGAGCCATTCTTGCCCTGGATCATAAACCTACTAGCCCCTTTGTCCTACCTTGGCATGCCTCTTCTTCTGACCTTTTATTAATAGGAGCTAGTACAAAGAGTTTGGCTCTTAGCCCTGTATGTTAACCCAACCACGTGAAACATTAGGTATTTGTATGTATTCCTTACCATAGCTGGGAAAACATTTATTTCTTTTATTTTCTATATTTTATTTGATCCACATGTTTATCATATGGAGTGGGTTTTAATACCCACAATTTACAGGTAAATTTCTAAAAAGATTACTGGTTTTTTGGTGATCTAGTTGGGATTCTAATACAAATCCATTATGCTTTCGAAAATGAGGACTGCAGATCATTTTGGGTTTTTGTTTTTTTTAATTTATCTACTGCAGATCATTTTAAAGTGTCTTGTTTTATTATCTAGGAAAATAACAATAATTTGATAAAAGTATGCATAACCTGGAAGAGATTTCAGGATGAGAAAATTAATTCAGCTTGAGACATCCTAACAGATTTGTAGGCTTTACTAATGTGTCTCTTAAAATTGATCATAATATACATGAGGAAAGGTGTTATGTTAAAAATCTTAATATATATCATAATGGCTGGCACAGAGCTATGTACCCGGCAAGTGATCAAAATATATGTCATTAATTAAAGTAAAAGTATAGGAAAATAAATATTAGATTAGAAATATAAATGTGGAAATCGTCTGCCACTGACACAAAAATCTATATAAAAATAATTTCCCTTAGAGAATAAAGCCAAATTTTCTATTTTGAATTATTCATTC